GCCAGAAGGTACCTGTTGGATCTCTTTCACTGCCTTAGAGCAGGGTTTGTCCAAGTGTTTCCTCAAGATGTCCATGGTGGCGTGTGGGCTAGCTCGGCGGGCTGGGTGATTCTCAGGGAGGTGTAGGAAGATGCAGGGGGGGGCTTTTCCTGTTGCAATGCTTTATAAGGAGTCTTAGGTATTTTGGGGTGTGCCTTGGGGGCATTGGGTGTTTGCTTAGCGGCTTCAGCATAGTTGTTGTTTTTGGGTGTGGTGGTGGGGTTGGTGATTCTCCTCTGCTTCAGTAAGGTGTCCAGTCGCCAGGTTCTTGCTAAAGTTAAGGACCAGGGTTCTGATGTCTTTGCCCAGGGAGGCAGCTCCTTGGAGGCTTTTCTCTTCCCAGTTGGCGATTTTTTGGTTGACTGTAGAGACAAGTTCCATGACTTCATCTCCTGTGGACTTTATCTGCGCTGTGCGAGAAGCTACTGCCGCTGAGATGTGGCTTTGTAGCTCCAAGTCCAGCTGGCTTTGGGGGGATCCGAGGGGCGGGGATTCGGGAGGCGTAACTTGGCTGGATTGTCCAGGCCGTAGCGATTTCTGAGGAGTAACAGGGGGCTCTGTAACTTTCTTTGGTGTTTGAGGTCTCGGTCGTTTGAGCGGTCGATTCGGCGTGATGGGTTCGGGGGGGGGGGAAGCGGTCGGGGCCTCGTTGGCACCCGTAGCTTCCCCCATATTGGTGTCGGACATATAGTTGGTGGTGGCAGTGTTATGCACGATCGTAGTCAGGGGGGGATCGCGAGCAAATGGTCGCGATTTTTCGTTGGAGGTTGAAAGAGCTGCTGCGCACTAACACTATCAACTGTGCTTGAAACACCTACGGGTGATTTTATCACGTGGATAGCTCCAGAAGATCACGGCGGGTGGTTTCGGCTGTAGGAGGTACTAGCATCAGATAGGTGCTCTGACTCTAAATATACACAATGCAGGTATGTATTGCGATATATTCGGAAGGTTTTTCTGTTCGGGGGTTTTTCTGTTTGGCGGGTTTCGACAGCTGATTCTAAGCATTGCTAAGCTTTACTCTACACGGGCCGGGCGGAAGCTAAGAAAGGCCCCACCTAAACCGTAACTTAATCGGCGATCGCCAGTTTGTCATATGCCTCTGACGGACCTGGGCCCCGTTTATCCCGAAGCCACCCCTTAACTCCGTTAACCCCGTCAACGCCACTTGCCGGAGATAAGACACCGGGGATAGCGGGCTTGTAGGTGTTGCCCCGTTTGGCACGCGCTGCTGGCCAGCTGGCGCGGGTCGGGTATTAATACTCTAAATTTCTCGTGTATGGCCATCACCAAACCAAACCGCATAAGCCAAACCCTAACCATCAAGCCTCGTTTACTGTGTACGCAGCCGTGCACACCTCGCCCCCAATCCAGTCTAATCCAGTCTAAGCCGTCATGTTGATTCCGACCCTTCCCGCCACTCTGACGCCTGCCCTCAGCGGCCGTGAGGCCATTGCTGACGCCGTCTACCGCTGTGTGGTCGCCCTTGACACGGACAACCCAACTCTCTTCAAGTCTGCCTTCACCAGTGATGCCATCTTTGACCTCAACGGCACCATAATGGATGGCTTTGACGCCATAAATACCCAATGCTACGCTTCTATCTCCAAGATGGACACGAGTCACTTCCTCAGCAACATGCGTATCAACGTCCTGGATGGAGACTCAAAAGCTGAAGTGACATGTTCAGCCCTCGCTCAACACTACCACGGCGGAGAGGGCATGAAGTCGGGCGCTGTTCCACTACTCGCCGGTGCCCTCTACTGGGTGGACCTCATCAAGGATGCCGGAGACGGACTGTGGAAGATTACGCACTTGAAGCTCAAATTGACTTGGGGACAAGGCGACTGGGGAGTTTTTGGCAATTAGACTAGCGACTAGAAGCATGGCGGTAGGAGTAGCAAAAGATTTGTCATGGTTGGCATGGATGATTGATCGAAGCCGCCGAAAACAGGTAGCAATACAATCACAACTCGAATAGTAACACCTTTCTGCGTTCAGATTGCGCCGTTGTGCGTCTTTGTGACCGTGCTATCCAGCATCTCGTAGGCAAACATGGAATCCCCCACGTGAGTTCCTCCATATGTCTCGATCTAGGCTATCACCTTTGAAACGTCTCATGAAGGCGTGTATGTTCGCGTAAGCCACCCAGGATCAGGCTAAGTTCCGTCACCCGAGGTTGAACCATGTATACACACAAGGCATGCCACTGGGAGAACGCACACGCAGGTTAATTCGCCGGATGGAGGGCTACCGTCAAGAGGTCAGTTTTACCACTTACGACCTTGTATTGAACTAATTATCTAGCTGGCAGCTGGCAAGCTGCGCGTGCGCCATGATGCGCCGGTGCCATCCCCAGGCCGCAGTGTAGGATCGATTCTGCGGAGGTGGCAACCCTTCTTGGACACTTTCCATTCTTGCTCCCATCGGGTTCGTATGCAGTTGCAAGTGAAGGCTTTCTCCCTGGAGGACAGAGGGCGAAATGGGTGTGTCTTGCCTAGGCTTGCCGCCTCTTTGGGATCCTTATGTAGCGATTTTGTTTGACCTGACCATGTCTTTCCACAAATCCATTTCCCTGAGCCCAACGCGAAGGGCTTCGACAAAAAGCTCATAGGGTGGTTTGTATTCGGCAGTAGTGAGGAGGATATTAGTGTTGCCATCGACTCGGTGGATACAGAATTGATCAGGGTTGGGGATGAGATATACTTGATGGCTGTTTTACATTGCTTCTACCGCCACGTGAATCGAAAGAGTTTGTGATTGTCGAACCAGATTCCATGCCCAAGTCCAAACTCTTCTAGGGAAGCGTCGATTTTGCATAGCTCTGCAAGTATATCACGGACATGGCCTTCCACGGCGATTCGCTTGTAGCTCTCAAGACCTTGTTCACTACTAATGATCGGAGATCGCATCGTCTGGCATCCTCTTCAAACTTAAACCCCCACTAAAGACCAGCATCAAGGATCAAAATCGGGATTGAGACGATAGTTGGCCACCCGCATTGACTCATGCAGTATGCCGCGTAATGCTTGGATGTCTAGGCGAAGGTAACCACGCGATCTTGGGCTTATTTCGATCAAGGCCAGCTCCGTTCGACCTGGTGCCCCCTTAGCAGGCATATGACTCGTCCATTGTTCACAACGATAAGCTGCTGAGAATGTCCCTCCCCATCTACCACTTTATCCTGCTCGACTGCTCCATGCGACGCACGACACTCTCGGTCTCGGCCCAACTGCATGGTCTGTTCGAACCGGCCGAGTCGCCTCCCGCAGCATCTCCGCCGCATCCCCATTCGAGAATGCCCCGCTGCAGCGAGGTGCTGAGATGGTCTGCTATCGTTGCAACCTCTTCCAGATCACTGGCTCCATTACACTCCCTGCTAGATGCGCTATATCATAATCGACCGGGGAGACCGGATCCCGATCGTCGCCGGGAAAATGATTATCTCGGCTACAGATACTGTACAGTGGCCTTCTCTTATATCACGGATACAGTTTAGACGTCACGTGGTCTACCTTTGAATTATGCTGAAGGGTGGGGCGGGGCCCGTCGCCGGGGAAGGTGGATGGATACATTCCCAGGAGAGCGGCACAGTGGTAGCATAGACCCTAAATCATAGGAACATAATTCGCCTGTTATAAAATCGAAGGTGGCAATCACAGAGACTCACATTTCCATCGCATGGTCGAAAATTTGGGTATATCGACAAAGAACGCTGGAGAGAAGATAAAATTCGGAGAAGAGATGAAGCTGTTATACAGGAACGAGGGGCCAAAAATGCCTTCCAGTATGAAGGCTGTTGCTGGCAATGCTCATTATTCAATGGAATTGTTGCAAAGGTAGCGTTTGCTACCCTCATAACATCCAAGATAAAGTCCACTGCCCACAGCTGATGCCACAACAGTTAACCCGGAGCCTCGAAATAAGCCAGGTAATCCTTCTATCCGGAGTATATTGTGAACAATAGAAAGTGCAGAAGCCCGACGGGAGCGGGAGAGCTCGATTGCTGGTACCTTGATGCTCATGCTATCGACAGAGAGGCGGCTGGCTGGCTTCTCTTCACATGTTGCAAGCCTCATTCTGGTTTTCACCACGTCAATGGGAACAAATAACAAAGACGAGCAGCCGCCAGCAATGCTTGCACAAAATGCACTGGCTTTGACTTCCTGTCCGATATTATTCGTGTCCAAGTTTCGCCATTGCACCAGATTTGTTTTTAGAGACTCATACAAGCCGAATGTAATACAGATGCCTGGCAAGTGACTCGCCACCAGTGCAGAATAGCCTGCCCATAGCTGTGATGGCTGCCTTGAAAATAGTTTCAGTGTTTTCAGCGTGGGGGGCTGGCTAAGGGGCTGTCTGTTGGCGCTTTGAACGACTTGGGCATTCTGTTTCAAAACCTCTGCTGGGTTGGAGATAGCACAGGCGACAAGTTCGGCGGCTGCACTGCTTGAAGTGGAAATTAGTGGCTGAGGCACTTCTTGAAGGTATCCAGCATCATGTGCTTTTCCGAATGCAGTTTTGGAGGCTTCGTAAATCGTGAAGAAGGCAGCGGAAGAAGGTATGCCGGCAATCAGCGTAGGGCCGAATCCCTGGTAAAGGCCCAGAAACAGCGCCCGCCTCAATGAGCCATTGCCATGTTTATAGATTGAAATGTAATTTTGGGACTGCATGCGGGTGATTATCGTGTCCATTGGATGGATAAAAACCTCGCTGCTTACTGCGGCGATGATCCCTGGCTGTAACCCTTAGATGGGAATATGTCTGTCATAATGCACTCCAGTGACTTACCAAGATCGCCTCCATATTTCCATCCGAGAGTTTTCTCAAAGGCTCGGATTTTGCGGCTTGGAGCTAACATTTTGGGAGCCCAGTGAAATGGGCCTGGACGGGAAGTCAACTCTCGGTCTCCACGGAGCCCGAGATTTCCCAAGTGTAGACGGAAAAATGCTTGGCAGTGGGGTCTGCTCACCTCTTTGCCCAAAGAGCCTGAGCAGAGTTGAAATGATTCCTCACCGTGGACCGACGATTGTTACGACCTTGCAACAGCCAACTACCGCACTCTGCATTTATCATTCCGAGAATTCCTTGTCAACACGAAAAGTGCCTTCCACGTGGATGGGAGAGAGACACACAGGAAAATACTATCACGGTGCCTTAGCACCATGAACTCCAGACTAAAACACAACATCTGCGGTGTATCAAGCTATGGAACACTGCGCACGGAGATTGATAGTTGGATTATCACTGAACATCTTCCACAAGACCTGCAATATTCCTGTCGCTATTGGGTATACCATCTAGATTAGAGTAAAGATTGTTTCGCTGGAGAGGAAGTTCTAGCTTTTCCGAAAAACCATTTCCTTCACTGGTTGGAAGCAATGAGTTTTTTTTAGATGCTTTATCAGATACTGTTGGCATTATAGATGCACTGCAGTCATACATGACTGTGAGTTTTTGAGCAACCCAGCCTTGTATAACAACTAACATTAATGATGCAGAGAAACACGAGATCTGAGTTTTTGGAGTTTCTACATGATGCAAAACGGTTTGTTCTCAAAAATATTTACATCTCCAACACTGCTCCACTCCAGCTTTACTGCTCTGGAATTTCATTCTCCCCTATGAGGAGTGTTACCAGGAATATATTTAAAGAAGATCGATCCAAATGGATACATAGTCTGCCACGAGTGGAGAATTCATGGGGCGCGGAACTACGGGCCATTCAGACTCGGTTCGGTCTGTGGCCTTCTCCCAGGATGGCCAGAGGGTGGTCTCCAGCTCTGACGATCGAACTGTGAAGCTATGGGAGGTTAGGACCGGCCTGGAGGTGCAGAGCCTGGAGGGCCATTCAGATCGGGACTGTTCCCGGACTTCACAGAAGCCTGGCTTTCGGATATCTGTAGAAGCTGACTGGGTGGCATTTAGAAGTCGAAAGGTATTATGGCCTCCTTTTGAGTATCGTCAACACGTGTTCTGCCATTAAGAATGATACCCTTTCCCTTGGGTATGGAAACGGGCGCGTTTCTATTCTGGGGTTTTGTGCATTTGGGGGTTGACTCTTCTCCACACTATATATTCTAATATCTATCAAAAAGAGGGTCTGGGATAGCTGAACCTATATAGCTTTACTATCCATCATGAAATCTCGAGCAGCTTCTACTTAGTTCTAGCAAACAGTGCCGCATCACATTAACCTAAAAATGTACCATATGGGATGACGTTAAATTGTGCGGCGCTGCGCGATGTTGGATGATGGCTCACCCTCTCTATAGCGCACCCACCCAGACTCACCCCTGGTCGCGCGACCGAAAAGCAGCATCACCCTCTAACTACCCGGGAGGCACCCACCGAACTATTGTCTACAGTTAAGCCATACGCTGGTGAGTTAGTAGTTGGGTGGGTGACCACCAGCGAATCCTCACTGTTGTATGTTTTTGTTGTTTTGTTGCTTTTGCAACAAAACAATCTGAATGAAGTATGTAGTAGCTATTAACCGACATTTCACAGTAGTCCGAGTGGGTTTAGCATTCTCGTATGCAAGCAATACAACGTCGTAGAAGAAGAATACTAGATTTCTATTTTAATCAAGGGTAAACCCTTTTCAATTACATAACTAGTAAATTAAAAATTATGCCCACCCTTCGTTAAGACCACTTCGTGTCCTCCGCTAGAAAAACGACCCATATGCGATTATCTTACTCCGTAGTGGTAGGAATAAGCCCGACGTAGAACTTAGGGAGGCAAAGGTGCAGTATGTTTCAGAAACAATAAAAATAATAAGAATGACAATGGGATTGCAACTTACTATAATTGATCAGGAGCCGGTATGCAGGTGTCATTGACCGCTTTTATCTAGAGGCGTAGACTGTTGTATATTTAGTCTGATTATGTCTAGAAATGTGTATAAAAAACCCTATTAAAAGACAAACTAAACCCTAAATGGAGGAGTATTGCATATATAAACTGTAGTTGGGTGAATAAATAGAGTACGTTCCATAAAATGAATACATATTTATCGCATATAGATATTTTGAAGTCGTACAGCCAAGAATGTCTAACACAATTTCTATCTCCTTACCTACAACATAGGAACAAGTAGGCTGATCAGCAAAGCCTCAAAAGTAATAAATAAATGGTGCAGATTCATATCAATTATTAATTATATCCTATTTATTTAACCCGTCATTTAGCAGGTCCTGGGCGACGTGTACTTGAGAAATCATGGCAGTATTGTCCCTTTTTTTCAAACTGGCATTTGCCATATCTACTGTTTCTGCATGTCCCTCCTGCAAGGGAGAAGGGGAACCCTCGGTTTACCCTAGGTTTACGCGTCGCATGCAGCCCAAGTCTCTAGATGCGACAACACAGCCAAAGGGGCCTTTGAACTGGGGAGAAATCAACTTCATTCACACGAGTGATACCCATGGATGGCTGGAAGGGCACATTAAGGAACGCAACTACGGTGCTGACTGGGGTGACTTTGTGTCCTTTGCGAAGCACATGCAGGACAAAGCCGTAGAGAAAAGCGTTGATCTCCTGCTCATTGATACTGGTGCGTCGGCTGTGTAACATATGTCTGAATCAATACTCATGCAATATTCATCTGTAGGCGATTTGCATGATGGTAATGGTCTCAGCGACGTAACAACGCCCAACGGCGAGGTCACGAATTCTATCTTCGAAAACATCGACTACGATCTTCTCACTCCCGGAAATCACGAGCTAATTGTGGCCGATGTTGCGTACAACACATTCACTAAGTTCTCCAAGGTGTATGGCGACAAGTACCTGACGAGCAATGTTGATATTTGCAATAATTGCCAAGAGGGTGAACCAGATGAAAAGGAATGGGTGTCTATGGGCCGCAGATCTCGATATTTCAAAACGAAGCAGGGCCTCCGAATTATGGCTTTTGGGGTGATCCTTGATGGGACCAATAATAACAAGGACATGACAAGAATCCAGCCAGCTGCCGAAATGATACAGCAAGACTGGTTTAAGGATGCAGTCAATCGCCAGGATATTGATATATTTGTCGTCATTGGACACAACCCCGTCAAACCTGGAATCCCCAAGAGCGAAAGCAGCTTCCCGCTTCTAATGGAAACTCTCCGGACAATGCGACCTGAGATTCCTGTGCAGGGATTCGGGGGTCATACGCACCGCCGTGACTTTCACATCTACGACCCTATGTCCTCGGCGATAGAATCCGGCAAATACTGTGATACTGTGGGTTGGGTTTCCTTGGATGGCATCAAATCACAACCCGTTCAAAAAAGAGCAGCAAGCCTCGAAGTCAAAACTCCATTAGTAAATAAGAGCACAATAGTGAAATCGGCCGATGCATCTTGCTCCAAGACCAAAGATTTCGATATGAAGTTAACCCGGCGGTATCTGGATTGGAATCGCCTCACTTTTGCCTACCATGCAACTGGATCCCAAAGCATATCAAACACCGCTGACGGACTCGATGTGACCAAAGGGATTACAGACAGTCGCAACACTCTCAATTTGACCTTTGTGTACGGGTGCGCGCCACAGACATACTGCATATCATGCAAGCCGTTCGGCGACGAGGGCAATATCTACACTTTGGTGCAGACTGCTGCTGCTGCGACTGTGGTTGACCCAGATCGTTCGACAAATTCGAGGATGATCATTGTCAACCAAGGAGCCATCCGGTACGACCTGGTTCAGGGCCCATTTACTGTAGATGATGCCTATATCGTCTGCCCGTACACGAGTACCTTCCGATTTATCGCCGACGTTCCTTACTCGCTGGCTTCGAAAGTCCTCGAGTATATAAACAAACCGAAAACCACCACCAAACGATCCATGACTGTAGATACCATTTCAAGTCAGATGTTGGGTTACGATGAGTGCAACAATTACTCGCCTCACAACGGGACTGAGCTTCTCAAGCCAAAAACCCTCTTTCGTCGTGTACTTGATGGGACCACGCCAACCCCGGGATATACAACATGCGATGACCTTGGTGATGATGGCGATGACACTCCGCACTCTGAAATCCCGGAATACACTCAACCAGCTCATGTTCAAGGTACCGCTGCGTTTCCACCAGATGGTCAACCAGACAAGGTGGATCTAATTTTCTCGGATTTCCTTGACGGGAGGATCGTTGCAGCCTTGAATTCCGCAAACCCGCCCAAGAATTATACGACGGACGACACTCGTCTTTATCTTCCGGAGGACTTTACGACGAATACCTTCATTCCCACCTATGCCTCTATGGCCTGGCAAGACAACATCAACGACTGTCCGATTGGAGGATGAGTGAGATGGTGTTTGGATATCTGAGGCACCTATGGGGTTCAGGACCATAGTTCTCTCTCCCTCTCCTCTTCCTTCCTCTCTCTCTCTGTCCGTTCTTCCTTTTATGAATGCATACCTATTCTTCCTTATTAGATAATTCATTGTATCACATCCTCTGGATAGTGCGGCAGTAAAGAAGCTTTCTATCCCACCTACATACCCATCCATTTCCATTCTATCTTTCCCTCCAATACTATGTCAAGTACATACGACCATAGGGTGTAGAAAATAGGCCTTCCTGTCTGCTCAGCCGTACTCAAGCCACACGCCGGTGAGTTAGTAGTTGGGTGGGTGACCACCAGCGAATCCTCACTGTTGTATGTTTTCTATTTCTTTTTCGTTTTTTTTTTTTTTTTTTTTTTGTTTTTTCCGACTTGAATCAGGTCGACCAGTCTGGGTGTTGCGATGTAGACGCGGAGAGGGGGCGAGCGATAGGCTGGGCCGGACAGCCCCCAGCCTTCCCTAGGACACCTGCCACTCATAGCCCCCACTAGGGGCTGCAGGGTCAGAGCGGTGCCCGACATTTTTCTCAACTTTCCAAGCTCTCTATTGGTTTCTCCTTAAATGAGGCGTGTGTCATCTCCGGGAATTGCTAAGGACACCCCAACTTTTACTAGGGACACCCCAGTTATGTCAGTCGCAATGGGAGCCAGATAATCGGGTCACTCAGGGGGTAGGGTTCTTTTCATCCCAATTGTTGGAATGGAGGCGTCAGCGTTTGACTTGGGCCCATCTCCATCGTGTCCCGCGGCTAGTATTCTCAGGCGAAACGCACAAGCGCGCTTAGGCCTGTCCGTCCGCAGCCGCAATCCCATTTGGGTTGTTCAGGACAGGAGTTTCGGAGTGCACGGGTCGGCCGGGGTCTGGGTTGGGATGGTGGTTTAAGTCACGACGGCCAAGCTGATGTGAACGCCGGTACCTGTGTGCAGATCGAGAAGCGAGCTACGCCGGAGGCAGCAGGCAGGGGGTGGTTCCAGAATGCCGCACAAGGCAGCTGCTCTTGCTTAAGAGGAATGCAGTCTCAGCAAGCTCAGACACTAATATTAAAGAATATTATTATTAAGGCGCTTGTTCAACAAATGAATGTATCCTGATTGACTGCGTTCTATGATCTAATGCGTTCTATATAACCGCCATATCTAGTTCTTGTTGTCCTTCTTGGGGCGCCAGCCTTCGTCGATGTTGCCATCGTGGAAGAGCGCCCCTCGCCCGAGATCTCCTTGGAATAGCTTTTCCGCATTATGAGCCACATCCTCAACAACAACAAGTCGTAGATGGCTCTTTCCATCCACCGCGTCGCTCCAGTCAGGAAGATCCTTGAATGAACCAGGGAACCCCTCCAGGTCTTCGTCCGTGCGCGCGAGCGTGTTGATGTACCGGAACCAGATCAAGTTGCGAGTACGCCGATTCTTGCCTCCTTGCACATTCCCCATGCAACTTGTATCACCAGCACTCCCCGTATCCTGTAATCCCACTATTGAGACGATGTCTCGACTGACGTACTGCGTGAAATATTCCTTTGGCGTCATGCGCTTGCCTCCCGTGCCAGGGAACTTGTCGAAGCCGTATCTCCAGATATTGTAGGAATCACAGGAGTTTCTCGAAGTTTCGGTGTCTTGGAGAATAGGACGGTCTTCGGTGAAGTACATACACGACGATGGGTCGCCGTGGATGTACCGAACGTGGACATTGTCAGGGGGATCATTACCCAGAGCCGAGTACCGCTGGGCAAGCTGGCCACCGCCACCATGGCCAACGACGGTGACGTTCTTCAGGTTTGGATACTTCTCCTTGTCTGAATGGAGCTTGACGAGGCCGTCCAAGACGTCGAGAGAGGTAAGGCTTGTATTTGCGGGATGATTAGCCTGGGCACCTGGTTGCCAAGCATTCAAGTCGTCCCACGCCAGCTGATTTTTCTTGTACTGGCCAGAGTTGAATTTTGTCGAGAAAAACTGTGGGGAGAGCACTGCCATTTTGCGGTCTGTTCCAGGGAAGTTGTCGTCTCTGGCCTTGTTGATGGCGTTGTTCAGCGTCTTCCAGTAGCCGTTTCCATCCCTTAGCCTCCCATGGAGAACAATAAAGAGATGCTCGATGGTCTTCTCGTCCAAATCCTTTGAGATGAAACCCGCGATTTCCTCGTCGCCCTTCTCATTAACATTGAATGATGTGAACTCAGCGCCATCTGGTACTCCAATGTCGCCGTGGTCCTGTTGTCCAACTAGTTAGCTGGTACTGTGAGGTAGCAGCCAATGGGTCCTGACCTACCTCTCCTTCCTCGCTTTTATCGTGTTTGATCATAGCCTCGGCTTCCGCAGAATAAATATCCTGTTCGTCCGACGCAGAGACATCTCCATAACGGGACTGGCTGTATCGGAATGCAGAACAGTAGGGCACCAGGAATGCCAAAAGGGCTGCCCAAACCAGCGCCCGGAATGTCAGGGTGGCGGCCATGATGCAATTCGGCAAGATCTTCGGATCAGACTTCCAGAGCCGTTGGCTCCTGTCTTTTGTCGATGAAAAGGACTCGGAGGTTGCTGGTATTGTCTAGTGCTTACCTTCCTGGTTTTGCTGAATGCGGTCGGTAACGATCAGATTAGATCCAGGTCGGAGAGGAGGGACAGGTAGGTATTTAAGATATTGGGCTTGGAAACCTGGATGGAAATTCAAGGTTGGTCCGTGGCTCGACCTCGGTCACGAGCTTGACCAGAAAGGGGAAGTAATTGGAGCATGATCTTCAAAGACTATGTCGATCCACGACAATAAACAAACCACAAGAATCCGGCACACACGTGCCGTTCAAGCGAAGATGGCGGTGCACAGGTTATGATGGCATTGACATAGCACCCGGGCACTACCGGATGGTTGTCGAAGCTCGTCACGAGAAGGATGGTCGGTTCCAACTTGGCATACGCCGCGGCTCGACGGACGTTGGCAAGCGATGCGCATTGTGGTGTGGAGAACCGTGCCGAGACCGGTTCTCACAATGCGTAATGCGGGCTTATCTCAACACATGTCTCGTTGATCAATGAATATCAGCGGTGGGAGACTTCCAATACCAACTATGACGAGCCCCCGAAGCTCCCACAGCCACGGGGTTGTTCAATGAATATCAGGGGTATGGAATTTTCGATACCCATTGTGGCGACTAACTGAAGCTCCCACAGCCGTGGGATTGATTAATGAATATCAGCGGCAAGAAACTTTGAATACTGAGCATCATTATGCACGAATCCCCGTCTGGCCCAAAGGATTAACAAGGCCCCTTTCCTGGCTCCTACCCCTAATTGGAGGCAGGCCTCCTGCTCAACCGTGATGCTCGGGGGCCAAGAGTCCCGTCCCCACCTCTCGTACTTGTATTATCCGCCCGTTAAATTGAAGTATCAAGATCGAAGCTGACGGCGCGTCTAAGCTGATAGGCATGGAGGTGATGTGCTTTGGTTTGGGCGTGGGCCATGACGTTTGGGAAGAGGTAACTATATCTATCGTCTTGTAAATCATGTGGAGTTGCCGATATCGCTGCTGCGGCTGTGTTTGTGATGCGCAATTCTCAGGAGTCAGGCTCAATCCTCCGGAGTCGGGATGGCACGAAAACAACTGGCGGAACAACCGCCGGAGGTGGGCCCGTGGACGGGCGGGAACCCGTTGCCGTGCATTCGGTCCCGCGCTGGTGACTCAGCGGTCCCACTATGCTCGCCTTCGCTTCGCTTATGAACGTTTGCATCCAGCTGTGACGGGGGCTGTGATGGCATCCCCAGACCCGAATGGGGCCCCAACGGGCGAAGATTACGGCAAGATACCAACGACATTTCTATCAAAAGTCCGGATCGCATTTTCTCGTCCAAACATAGATAGCGTTTTATAGCCGTACGCCATATCGTACAAGTTTAAACCACTCTATAAATTCATAAAAAATAGAGTATGCGAATATACGCGCGTAGGGGCTTAAACTAACTTTCGCGCGTGGGGGCTCGAAGGGCCGAACTGGCAGGCTCGAAGGGCCGAACGAACTAACCTTCGCGCGCGCGGGCTCTAAGGAAACGACAGAACTGCGGCGGTCAATGTCGTTAGTCTCGGCCCATGGGCTTTCTTTGTAAGCAAAATCTTAATCACCCCGTGCTTCGCATAAAATATGCACTTTTACCCTGTATTTTTGTGTATTTTGCTTATAGCAAGAGGGAAGCACCTGATCAATCTTAGGTCTCTCAAGAGTTTAATTCCTGCTATATATTCGTTTTAAATGATATTTACAATGAATTTAATAATAGTACGTCCACATTAGATCATTAAGTCGAGGCCTCCGCGATTCCCTAAGCCCAGCACGCCTCTGGGTGTTACTCAGTGAACACTTAGTTATCCATAGTGTTATTCTGTGGATTTACTTTCACAGTCCTAAGTAGCTCACGAAGACTTAGCTAGATTACATGTGCTAGGTAAGGAATACGTACAATAGCTAGGCTATTCGGTAACTCGAGAGATCAAGAGATTCCTAAATAGCCTAGACTAATGTAGTATTATTCGATGCGGTATCACATGTAATTGTAAGCACCCGATTAGATATACTATACTTTTGAAGGAGCTTCAAAATCATTTTACTTAGATTAAGTCTAGTATGAGAACCTTCGAAAAGTTTAAACCTAAGGAGGATTTCACGGTAATTCTAATCCCGATTAATGAAGTAGCCAGTGATCGCCATAAATGCTTGTTAGAATGGTGGAGTCCAGCAGTTAAGAGCAATAGATAGCTCAGCATTTAGTGGGAGGCTTAAAAGACTCGACCAATGCTTCTCTTTAACAAGCTTTCGGAGCCGCTGTTTTTTGTTTAAGGGTGAGGAAGCGTTCCTCCGCATAGCCGACACATAACTAAAGGCTCGCCTATGATATGGTGCGCAACTTGATTAAAGGGCTTCTAGGTATCTGAGAGTTACTTCGCATCCTATCGTATTTTATCCTTTCCCCCTACTTCGCTCCCATATATAGTGGTTCGCCACCACTTAATGAATTCAGTCTTCGAATCTAGGTTCATATCAGTATAAAGGACGTATAACTAGTTCCGTCCGGGGCTAACACGCTAGGGGGATAAAGGCGTAGAGGGGCGAGTGGAGGTAGGCGGTATAAGCTCGGACGTAGGTTCTGACGTAGCTGTATACTAGCTAAGATTGAGACCTAGATCGAGGTTCGGATCGAACACTAAGAGTGAGAAATCGTCTAGAATATAGGAAAGGTCTAGGGGATCGCTTTGCGTTGGTTGTAGGGATTTGTGGCGGAGTGCCATTACAAAAAGGGAGGCAGAACACAAGAAAATATACTGGGCGATGTTATCATCAGCGATGGGATTCTTCAGCATGATTTTGGACGTCGGTATCCGGATCGGTTTGGATGGAAAACCACTTACCACGAGAGTCTTGGAAGGCCCGGAGTTGGGATTCGATCATTCCTTAACAAATTGAAGATCCCCAGGAATCCAGATAACCTCACCAAAAAGATGATGGAGCATATTTATACTCTCCAGGCTCGTTAAGCTCTTTAAGAGAAACTCTGTGTGTCATTTAAATATCCTGGAAACCAACATGACAGGCTCTTTGATGCATCCTACCGACATAAACATCACAACAAACCCGATTGCGATGAATGTTGCCGGTGCCACCATCAAGAAGACCATGTTTGCAAAGCCTCAGAGGAACCTTCTTGCGACGAACTCAAGTGCCAGGGCGGTTTGGTAAACCGCAGGCGGCTGTCGACGAATCTGGGCGTAAATACAGCGCCTGCTATCCATATCGGGAGAGTTGCTTTGGGCGATGGCGTAATGAAATCCGGCGTCGACCGCGATGAGATAGTGGAACAAGAAGGGATTATTGCCTTTGAAATGGAAGGCGCTGGTGTGTGGGATGTCATGCCTTGCCTCATCATCAAAGCGATTTGCGACTACTCGGATAGTCATAAAAACAAGCGATTTCAGCCGTATGCTGCTGCGTCTGCGGCGGCCTGTGCCAAAGCCATTCTGCAGGAATGGGGTTCGACGCCCGAGGAGCTTTAATATGATTCTGGTAGTTCAGCGACTTCGTAACTTGCCTTTCCCTCCCTTCCCAGGATCCCAGAATTAACCTAATCATCGGTCTTATCTCCGATCACATGGCAAGAGCTGCTCATGACACTCATCACCTACCATGCCTTTAATGGTGCAAGATAGTACATCATAGAGATGGCTGGGATAATCTTGTAAGTGTTTTTGATGCTATGTTGTAATACTTGTATACCTAATAAAAATTCATTCCGTTTAATCTACTAGCTATCGAGCCCGTGACACATATGTAACGCCTTCGATCATTTGAGTAACTTCAAATATATTAATTGAATAGATATCTCATGAAGCAAATAAGGAATAAATGGCTTAGTGTGACGGCTCACACATGATAGCTCACATATAACGGTCCAACACCGCATCAACGGATGATACATCACAACCAACAACCCCTATAAAAAACCTCTTCATTATCCAGATAGATTCCCTTTTCTCTTCTCCAGATTCGATATTCTCGTCGATGGCTACAATAGTTTAGATAGGAACATCGATTCAATATTATCTACTATTCCGAGCCCGTGACACTTGGTTCCCTAACTAAAAATTAGATTAAAATACTTATATGCAAGCACCTCACCATCTACCCAACAGTGAACCCTTAACAATATGGATATCACTGTACCTGAAGGAAATAGGTAGTTATGAGTGAGCGAAGATGGTTGATTGACTAGGTGTAGCTTAAGTATGGCTGAGTGGATGGGAAGCCCTGCTCTCGGCATACAAGCAATATGGGCAAACAAGGGCTTAAGCCGCACCACACAAATGTCTATAAAGACCGTTCATCGCCTAGATAGATTTCCTTTTCTTCTTCCCCAGATTCGATATTCTCGTCGTTAGGCTGCCTAGTCTAGATATGAATACTATTCGTTTTATCTTTGAGATTTCTATATTTGTAGGCGGCAATAGTGGCACTTTGACAGATATACCAATGTTTGTCACTGACTGGGGAATGGGGCCGAAATAATACAGTGCTTCCGGATACCGGTGTCGCCACTTATACTCTTTGATTGTTTCAGCAGCCCCGAGGTGAAACTGCGCTAAGCTACTTCGAGATGTGGTTGCGGAACATTGTCCACCCGCGTATGTATTGTAAGGTAACCAACCATACTATGACCAGGTTTTATGTATCATTAGATCAAATAGTTATTCAATTATTGAACTACGCGCTAAACCTCAACTGAGCCACCTTGTGGGAATAACAAATCAGCAGTAGAACCAGAAGGTTAATTGGCTGATAACATTATAGCATTCAAGCTTTTTTTATTGAATGGCTTCCTGAATTAATTCTCTAGTCTGTCCTATAATTAGGAGCAAACATCCATTGAGGGTTCTCTGCATCGTTTAAACATAATTGGTTGATCAGGTCGCGACATCCTTGTCGCGTCGCTTAGCGTCGCCAACACATCAAGGCGGGGTCCTATTGTCGAAAGATGATATAGAAAAAGGATTGTGGTGCTGGACTTGGTCTATCCCCATGATCATAGATCCAGTTATTGCAATTCTCTATCGACATTCTCAAAATATGGTTGAACTGTCAAAGACGCGCTATTTTTAAAAAAGCTTTTCTCTTAGGGCATTGCGCAGACACAAGGAACCTCCAGCTCTGAAAAATCAGGATGACCCTGTAAAGCTGCAATCAGACAACCGACCCGATTCTCCAATACCTCCATCTTCCAGCCAACATGGTATCCAAACCACACGGTCAATCAAATCCTTTGAACCACAGGACCTATGGCAGACTGCCTATGATCAGCTCGATGAGGAAAAACAAAGAATTTTATCTGCAGTTAAAGCCACTGCAAACCCGACTGAGCAGCTGGATGAGGTTATCAACTTGACCACCAAGCAATATGCGGAATTTCAGCAAAACGGTAATGGAGGATTTCGGACTTCCTCCAGGAAAATCATCGATGCTGCGCTGTCTTTTAATAATATCATCAAGGCTGTTGCAGCTTTTGACCCTACCCAGCATGCTGCTAGTGCTTGGGCAATTGTATCACTAGGGTTGACGGTATGTTGTACCTCCCGGCTGACAATATAAATAACTAGCTAAGTAAGCGATTGGAAATACAGATGGCCAAGAATCATCATGACCGACGAGATGCCCTATTCGAATCATCGGATTATCTGGCAGATACTCTCGCACAGTGTGCGTTTATCGAAGCGAAGCTCTACCGTGAGGGCAGATCCAGTCACCTACAAGACTTGAAAAATCCATTAGTCCGACTCTATAAAGCAATCCTTCACTACACAGCACTAGTACAGAAGGCCCAAACTGCCAACAAGGCAAGACGTCTGCTGGACTGTGTCTCTGCCATCACAGAGAACCCGCTCACAGAGCTCAAGGCGTCAGTTGAAACGGAAAGAGAGAGTCTCCGCAGGTGGATTGAGCTCGGTGAATACCTCCACCGTGAAGAGGAGGCAGAGAACATTTTAGATGAGATTGATGAACTTGCTGGATCTATGAAGCAACTCACTGAGCAGTCTGGCTTTAAGAATTTGCCCATCGCGGAAGGAGCATTTTTTGACTCCTATGTTAATCAACATGAGGATTTCTGCCTCCTAGACACCAGAACGGATCTTCTTCGCCAGGTCTTGGAGTGGGCTCAATCAGAAGGTCAATTTATCTTCTGGTTGAATGGAATGGCAGGGACCGGAAAGTCCACTATTGCTCGGACGGTCGCTCAATCTTTCCAAGAGCAAGATTTACTTGGAGCCACATTTTTTTTTCAAGCGAGGGGAAGCCGACCGTGACAATGCGCGACGTTTGATATCAACAATTATAAGACAGCTGGTAACTAGATACCAGCAACTAGTACCTGCTGTCTTGGATGCTATGAAAACTGATTTGAATATCGCGTCTAAATCCCTCGGTGAACAGTTCAACAAGCTTCTTTATCAGCCCCTTATGAGCCTACATCCAGACCAATCGACGACAACTGTGATTATTATTGACGCCTTGGACGAATGTGATGGTGAAGATGATATAAAAGCGATACTTAAAATCTTGTTCAAATTACAGGAAATCCAATCTATACATCTGCGAGTGTTCCTGACCAGCAGACCTGAACTCCCAATTCGCCTTAAGTTCAGGGATAACGAGAACCATCAGGACCTGATCCTCCATGAGCTGCCTAAGCCAGTGGTTGAACACGATATTCGCGTGTTCCTGAAACATAAGCTTTCAGAAATACAGTTTGAGCGCTCTCTTTCCCCAGATTGGCTGGGGAATGACAATAGAGAAAGGCTAGTGCAGGTGGCTGTTCCGTTATTCACTTTTGCAGCCACGGCATGTCGTTTTATCAGAGAAGGGACGCATCCACAAAAGCGGCTCCAGAAGTTTCTTGAATTTCAAGCTACAGGTAAAAATCAGATGGACAAGATATATTTACCGATCCTGGATCGGTTAATAGGTGATGACGAAGAGGATGCAAAGGAGCTTGTGAAAGAATTCCAGGATGTTGTCGGCATTATTATTCTTCTTGCTACCCCGCTCTCTATTGGGTCTCTGGCCCTTCTTCTGGAAAAGTCAGCACATGAGGTCAGTGAGCTATTGGATCCTTTACATTCAGTGCTCAATATACCAAGTGATAGAGGTGCTCCAGTGCGCATTCTGCACTTATCTTTTCGAGATTACCTCCTAGTCACAGAAAGCCCATTCCGTATTCATGAGCAAGAGACTCATGGGAAAATAGCGTCACATTGTCTCCGGCTTATGAATACCCAGCTTAAACACAATGTCTGTGCTCTGGCAAGTTATGGAGCACAGCGTGAGGATATTGATCCTCAGATGATTAATCAACGCCTCACAGCTGGTCTACAGTACTCCTGCCGCTATTGGGTACATCATCTGAAGGAGAGCAACGGTCATATCTCTGAATCTGAGATTCTTGCTTTTCTCAAAAAACGGTTCCTTCATTGGCTGGAGGCACTGGCTTTGATTGGAAGTATATCAGATGCAGTGGAGATGATAAATACACTGCAATCAAGTACAAGGGTAGGTTTCTATTATTTCGACATTTAAGTAATTGCTGATGTATATCATAGGAAAGCATTAGTACAGAGCTTTCAAACTTTCTCAATGATGCAAAAAGGTTTACTCTACAAAATAGCTATATCGTTAGCATGGCTCCACTCCAACTTTACTGTTCTGGACTGGTGTTTGCACCTGCCCAAAGCATTGTGAGGAAGAATTTTCATGATGAAATATCAAAACATATAAAAACACTGCCAGCAATGGAAGATTCATGGAACTCAGTTTTACAGACGCTTGAGGGCCATTCATTTCCAGTCAATTCTGTGGCATTCTCCCCCGATGGATGCACGCTGGCGTCTGGCTCGTATGACAAGACTGTCAAGCTCTGGGATGTGACCACTGGCACGCTGCGCCAGACGCTTGAGGGCCATTCAGATTGGGTCAAGTCTGTGGCCTTCTCCCCCGATGGATGCACGCTGGCATCCAACTTGTATGGCAATACCGTCAAGCTCTGGGATGTGACCACTGGCACGCTGCACCAGACGCTCGAGGGTCATTTAAATTCAGTCAGTTCAGTTCTGAACAAACCCAACCCCAATTCTCAACCCCAGATATCTTTATCTAATACTTGGATTGCCCTAGGAGGTGAGAATATACTGCGGCTCCCTGCTGAGTATCATGGATTTACCTGCTGTGCTATCAAGGATGCCACACTTGCTCTCGGGTTAAACAACGGTCAGGTCACTATTATAGAATTCCACACGTGACACACCTTAGGTTCAAATTCTCTGTCTTCAACTTAGGTCTCTTATTTTCTAATCTCTTTACAAAATACAAAAGGAGGGCTTGGGATACCTGACGCTTATAAACAATTCTTCTACATATTCAAGTATTCTCCAGTGATTTCTAGATACGTTTATCAATATAGCTGGTTCGCCACTTAATGTTTGTCCAGATGTTTCCATGCCAAGGGAGAAATGCCTAGATTACTGGGTCACGTCATTTGTATCATTACATATTGTTAAAGTCACTCCCCCGGTCGGGAAAACTCTTGTTCCTTTCCACTCCCAATTAAGCTTAGCCCCGTTTTCACCTCAGGGTTGCTGAAACAATCAAAGAATACAAGTGGTGACACCAGTATCCGAAGGCACTGTAGTAAGTGGAAGATTTTTCAGTTAAATCTGTTTCTTGACCAAAGTAGCGGAGAAATTTAACTTCATTTTTTATCAAAGCTGGTGCTGGTTGGATTTGGTATTGTCCATATGTACCATTCCACTATATTCTGTCTGCATAGAACTTTCATTGTCTTTCCCTCCTCAGCGTCGCTTGATTGGAGACGCATAACATATATCAATCAAATCATCTTAAATCATTCCTCCATCTTCGTCACCACCCGATGAACGTCCCCAAAGACTAATATATCTTTGCTCGGAATCGCGGAGCCTTATAGTCACTTGAACAAGGGCGTCTTCCAACAAGTGAAACACTCCGAAAATTTCTTCCCGGAAGTGTAGCAGGGCTTGCTTTAACTCCTTTTGCCACTACAATTCAGCCCGCAGGTAGCTGGCCTCATATGCGAGTTTCTCGAGCTGTTGGCGAAGATCTGTAGATGCTCGTTTCGATTGCTGCAACCGGGAGGGAAGTCTTTCAAGGCTGGATGACGTGCCACCACAGCGTAAAATTTCGTAATCTGTGGGAGAGATTTCTTCTGAAATGGGCTCAAGGGAGCGGCGGGGAAATAACGGCGACTGCATTTTTCTCGGGACAATAAAAAGGTCTGTTATATGGCAATGCCAGAGCTAAGTCTTGATGAGAGATACCTTTGGGAAAGGCACGACATAGGTCTTTTTAAGTTAGTGCAAACCATAGAAATGGTTGCGAGCCTAAACACTGTCGCAGACAAAGGATCATGAATGGTAATGCCAGCCCAGAATGGCCATTGGGACTAGGGTCCAAGTTGCAAGCCACGTAGCTACAAAGCCTTGCAAGCAATTAATCAAATGGTTATTCCGCACAGGAAACAAGAAAAATTGCCTTACTACTCCATTCATGATTTATGATCCAATTGCTTGACTTCTAAATGAACAGCTCCCTATACCCGATTTCAAGGCGATCCAACGCTAGGCCTTGACTCTCTGTTCATCTCACACAAGGTCTCTTCATCATCTCCAATCAAGATTCCCTGACATGGAGAATCTGGGACTGCATTACACTGGTGACCGCTGATATCACAGGCTGAACAACAACCAGGAGAATCGCCCTCGCATGTTTCATCCAAGACTATTTGCAGACCTGTGATTGTTCTTTCCCGCATCTGTAGTGTATTTTGCAGGATAGAAATCAGTTCACCTTGCCATTGGTTTTCAAGGCGAATATCATCAGTATTGAATGCCCTTGACTGATCCTTGTCACCTGGAGCCAATGAACGCAACAATGTCTCATTGACGGATTTTTGGCTTGCAGCGCGGGACTCCAACTCTTGTATCTTTAGGCCTGCAATAACAAGATCTCGGTGCAGTATTCGTTGGTTTTCCGTCAAATGTGTGAGCGCGGACTCGCGTTGCAACTTTGATTGCTCAGATTGCTTGACAATGGACTCCAGCCAGGCGCAGCGATCTGAAATCTGTTGGTTGGTGGCCTGTTACTCACGAATTCTGGCCTCCAATAGCCCTTGACATTGTCGTGATCTGTTTTCCTGTTCGAAAATGGTCTTCACCAACTGACGGATGGCTTGATAGCGGTCATTTCTCGCAGGCGGAATCTTTACTAGTAAGAATTTGGTCATACATCAAGAGATTTCTCCCTTACCTGGATGGTGGCCATGATGTAATATTGTCAGATTCAATTCAGGATAGCTTTCTCTTTTCCTTTTTCACTTTGGCTTATTTGAAGAAAAGTGCTTGATATCTATACATGTAAAATTTGGGGCAAAAAAAAAAAAAAAAAAAAAAAAAGGTTGCACAACCAAAACTGCCGTGCTCATTTGGTAGAGCGAAAGTCTGGTATTCTCATATCTAATCACAGTGTTCCATTGAGCCGCATATGCCGTACCCAAATGGTTAAGCAGCTGTTTTGGTAAGACCATGTGGAGAAACTTCACTCCAAACATCTTATTTGTCGTAAAGAGCATGTGCTTATAATGTAGAAGTTTCATGTCATAGAGAATGCAATTAAAATGCATTTATGATTGAAGGTCAACTAACAGGAGACTTCAAACTAACCTACCAAAGCATTTACTTGGAATGATGCGTAAAGGCTGCAATGACCAGACTCTATCAACTTGACTACTGTTTAGTTTGACTGGGCGTTACCATCTCGCTGCAGGTCAATGAACCTTTGATAGTGGAACAGCGGAAGGAGCAGGATAAGGGCCAACCAGGTTCCAAGGAGCTAAGCAGTAGCTCGAAGCCAGTGCATTTTCCATAACTAAGCAAGCCCGGGTCTACGACGAAGATTGATTTGAATGTGTTTCTCACCAATCAATATACTAGGATTTTGTGCAAGGACAAACAGACTGAATTTATGGTCTCATCTCGGCTGCTGACCGAAAAGGGCAAACCGCATTTAAATTCGGCCGCCACTCTTTAAGTCCGTTAACACCGTCAAAACGACGTCGGGTACAAAGAGTTAACACACCCCAGATTCCCCAAGGTGTTTATGCATCGGATAAAAATTATAAAAGGTTGTTCTCATATCCTACTATACAGACCACCCTTCCACAATCACGGCTCTCTCAATACCAGGATTAGTACACGCCGAGGTAGGCTGCCATCCATTGAACACGAGTATCTGCGATCAGCACTTACAATCCACTATCTAGAATAGGGAAACTCGATCAAAAAGACCCAGAAACCTATATAAGTTGACAATATGGCTACGCAAATGCTCAAATATGTGGCCAGAGACAAAGGTCGGCCCTTGGAAGCTGCAATCACTACAAAGCCAATGATACGAGACGCAGAGGAAATTTTGATTCGCCTCAAAGCCATCGCAATCAACCCTGCAGACTACAAAATGGTTGATCAGGGGCATAGAGTCATGGCCTGGCCATTTGTACCAGGCTTGGATGGAGCAGGCATTGTGGAGGAAATCGGAAGCAGTGTGAAGAGAGTAGGCTTGGGTGACAAAGTCTTGGCTCTGTTTACACCCGGCGATCGTGCCGCATCGTACCAGCAGTATGCGGTCATAAAAGAAGCGGACGTGGCTAGGATTCCTGGATCATGGACACTTGAACAAGCCTCGACTCTTGGGTATACCTCTCTCTCTCTCTATATTTCTGCACGCACACACGCACAAACGGCCTTTTCGAAGTACTTAGGGTTTTAGGCTGACTTGGGAATCAATTAGGGTGTGCTTTCTCACAGGCATCATGGCACTTGGAATCGGGTTAAAGACTCCACTGCCTTTTCTCGAAGGCGGAGAGACGGCAGGATTCAATCCCTGCTCTGTCCTGATACTCGGTGGAAGCTCAGCAGTCGGCGCTGCAACCATTCAGCTTCTTCGTCTTGCAGTCCCCGGCTGTAAAATCCTGACCACAAGCTCGCTTCGGCACCATGCTTACATTAAGAATACGCTTGGTGCCGATAGTGTTATCGATAGAGGGTCTGAGTCATTAGTCAAGCATGTCAAATCCCAAACTCCAGAATGTCGAGGCGTGGACGCAATCATCGATGCTGTCGGCGCTGGTGGCTTGCAGAGCCATGTCTTTGAGACATTTGATGCTCAAGGGCCAAAGAAATATGCACAAGTGTGGACCGGTGACAAGGAGATTCAGGTCCCGAGCGGCGTCAAATCGGTCTTATTCAGGGGACGGGATCTGCCTAAATTGCTTGGGAACGAGAATATTATGAGGTCTTTGGAGAGATTATTAGAGGAAGAGAAATACAAATTGCCACTTCCAGTGCACGAGGTAGGTCGTGGCTTTGATGAGCTAGAAAGGGGTCTAGATTTGATGCGTCAAGGCGTTAGCGGAGAGAAATTGGTGGTATCTGTATAAAATAATGCTTGAATATTGTTATCCAGATGATGATGATGATGATGATGATGATGATGATGCTCTCATTTACCACGACCCCTGCCGAAGTGATACGCAGGCTACTACAATTATATATATCCTTGTTGTTAGGCTGCCCTGTCCTTTGACTTTGATGCGCTGTCTGCCTTCCTCGGCGCAGGTGACCACCCCGATAACAATCTGTCAGACTACAGCACAGGCATCTTCGCCGGTCGCATCGGTGCCCTTTGCCTCCTCTACACTCTCCAAAAACACCGCATAGCCAACAAAGTCCCCTGGTTTATCCCTGGCCACACAAAGGAGACCTTTGAGCCACAGTCCGTGAAATCATCGCCTCTGGCGCAGAGATAGGTCCGCATGGGTATGCGCTTTCTTGCGCATACCAGATGACGCTGGTGCAGGAACGCGATGTGCTCACCAAGTGTATGGATGTCTGTCAGCAGTTGACAGGGAAGAAGGTAATTGGAATGTATACATCGAGGTGAAAAGCTGAGCGGTAGAAAATCACGCATAAACTTCATGATGAAATACTTGGGTCGTTTTGTGCTGCATCGTTAGTTTAATATTAGCTTCACAGACTTGTAGTAGCAAATCGTTCGCCAACTTCAGGTGTGGATGCCGGACCACTTGGAATAATATTAAACACACTCTGAGGCCCACTGGCTCATTCAAACAATTCTGCCTCCACTCCAATCCAATGCAGATTTGGCGTGGGTTCAGAGGTGGATTTGCGAATTTTCTATGTCACCCTATGTTCTACCCAAGGCAAAAGAAACACACCACAAAACACCCTAACCCGACAATGGAAGACCTCTACGACACTGGCAAAGTCCAGAATCCTCCCATTGCCGCCGTCACTACCAACTCGTTCCTTTATTTAGCCTGGGCTATTAGATCCCAGGGTGTCTATCGCTCACAGTTTGTGGGGAAGAACACCGGGATGTTCTACTGCAGTGCTGCTCACTTGACCTTGGATATTGTGGCTTGGACACTGACTGTTATGATGTCGACAAATTATCAGCTTGTGTTGATTACTGGGACTGAAGCTGAGGCTAGTTTGAGTGATGAAGAATGTGATGAGTTGATGGGGACGTGGCAGGTTTTTAATGGGATTCGAGAGTTGTTTCCTCTTGCGGGTGGTGTTTCGGGACTTGTGGTTGCGTTGTGCTAAGCATTGGGATTTAATGGCTGGCATACACAGTGGTCTCATGGTTAATGCTATATTACGAGAATTTATTGTGAAATAAGTGATTGATAGTTCTAATCTAATTGTATAAGGCGGTTTGGTAGAAATCTAAATCTATGTAGAGGGATGTGCAACATTAGAGCATTCTGTAGCTCCTCTTTAGTGTGTGTGGTGGTCAGAAAAGACCCCATGCGAAGCGCACGCCTTTTGGCACTCCTCAAGGATCTTCGCTTGCTTAGCAATATCCCCCAGTCAACTAATGTTCGTGTTCGGGTGAGTTGGTCATGATATGGTGGACATTGTGGCTGCGTTTCCACCAGCCCAAACTCAGCCCTCCAATGAAGTCTGCGATGACAATACCGATACAGTCTGGAAGTCATGCATGATACCCATGTGACCGGCATCATGGGCCGTGAATACAAGCTGGTGCCAGAAACAGCCGAGGAACAGGCCAGCGAATCCAAAGCATGAGTGGCGTAGACAGAAGATGAAGAGTGCAAATAGTATGGAATACCAGAATGTTTCAACTGCATAAGAAAAGTAGTTGCAGTTGTACAGTCCCTCTTTTTGGATACGCTTGTTAAGCGCACGGTATTTTTGTGTGATGTTACCTTGGTGTTTTGCGTCCACAGGAGGATAATTGACCTGGTCAAGCATGATTTCCTTTTGCGTACGAGCATCCAGAACACACGAGTGCAGCAGCTCAGAGCTTGAGCTCGGTAGAGAAGTTGATCTGAGGGCCGAGGATATTGTAGACGTCGACTTTCGACGTCTCAACCCGCTGGAGATCTCTGATTCCAAGCCACCTGCCTCTTCGCCATCCTCCTCGCAATTGTAACGTCTGAAGCGACCTCCTTGGGTGGGCGGGACGAAGTTAGTCCATCTTCCAGTGATGGAACTGATCTGGAATGCATCCATTCACTGTTGGGCCTCCTTTGAATGCAGACTGGGATTATTAGCTATGGCCTCCCCAGTGAGTAATGGATATAGTTCAGGAACAGACTCATGCATTCACTTCATCTGTGGCATCTCTCCCTACCATGTATTTGATTGCTAATTCTCCTTCCAGGTGGAATTTGATCCAGGCATCAAGTTTCAGCACCTTGGTGTCAAGGATGATGGTGGACTGACCATCAGCAATCATGCCCTTGATTTCCCTTCTGCGCAGCTCATTCTTTTTGGCCCCAGCTGGGACAAGTGAATTGTTCATTAGAGACAAGTGGCAAGGAAGATGAGATAATGAGTATGGTCAACTCAAAAAAAAAAAAAAAAAGGCCTCATGGTGATTTTATCGTCCCCTTTTATACCGTGGTGGGGTAAAGGGGACCATCTGCTACTTGCACTGAATTAAAGTAGAACAGACCCCTATCACAATAGTGGTCCAGATTGTGGCGCTGGCCACTGATTGCATTGCAAAACGCGTAATATACTAGCCATGAGCTATAGGTCTGAGAATATCTGCTTCTGTCCTGCAGGACGACATGGCTGAGCGCCTGGTTCAAGGAGGCTAGTTTCATGGTCTTGAATATCATGCTGCATTCTGGAACCCAAGACGTGCAGGATCTGGGATGGTGGCCAAAACGTGCAATAATCAATAGTTTCTCATGAAAGTCAACCACTGACATTCAATTGGCACTCTGATATCCCTGTCCAAATCTGGGCTTCTCACAGCAGACTGAAGACGAGTGGTCATTTAACAGATATATTATCCTTTTCCTGTAGATATATTTCTCTTCTTTTTCCTCTCCAAATTCAATATTCTCGTCGATGGCTACAATAGTCTAGATAGAAATTCAGTTCGTTAGTATCTACTATTCCGAGCCCGTAATATATCCGACTGCCCTATGCCTCATCTCGCTTGCAGACTCATCTGGTTACTTCCCCTTTCTCACTGTCAATGCCTCTATCCAAGCTGCTGTCTCATTCCCTATTCTGGTTTGCTTTATTCCCTGTCCAGCTCGATTCATTCATGTATATAGAGAGGACCATTGTATCCTGGTGTTTAGTCTTCTTCTTCTTCTTCTTCTTCTTCTTCTTCTTCTTCTCTCCGGTTTGAAGATTCTCATTTATCGATGCCTATTAGGCTAATTAAGCTACCTTCGTTACCTCTTAGTTGAGTCACTTGAGCCCGTGACAGTCGAGGCGCGCCCTTATATATCCTTTCCTGTTAAGGGCTAGGCCCGGAATGCGAACAACTAGCTTTGGCACAAAAGATTCGTTGAAGGAAGGCACGAGTGCCCGGTCAGGAGGCTCTAAATCCATGCGCCCGCAGTGCGGGGTCGATAGTCCCCCCAATAATCTCTTCGTCCAATAACCTCTCCGCCCGACTAAATATACCGCTTATGCGACAGGTGTAGGAGTAGACGATGCCCCAATTAGTGCAATTTCATGCTTGTACAATTCTCTTTTTTATACAATATACCCCCAGTAAGACAGGGCCGCACTGTATTATAAACCCGGCTATTAGACTACCAGTGACGAGGTGCCTTGAACAGGGCAAAAGTGACGACTGACGAGAACCGCGGTCCCAATTTCGTGGGGTGAAATTGTCTGGGGAATTATGCCGTCTTGGCCCTCGAGTGTCCCTTGGCATGACTAACTAGCTCTCAGACGCCAAGAGATATTCTGGTTGCCTGAACAATCCCAAGCAGATCCGGCTTCCGTCAATGCAGACGCTGGGACACTATTTAAGACTTTTGAGCCAGGGGTTGCATGCTTGCAAATACATGACAAGACAAAAAAGGCTACATTTAGATTCTGTATAACTTTCTACTTTGTTTTCAAAATCATATTGTACTCTTTCTAATGTCACTCAGCCTCAACGAGAATGATACAAAAGCTGTGTGTGAAGAAGACGAATGATGGATGGCGGGATCACCAGAAGGAAGGTGTGGCAGGAGGGAGAGATGGTATGAGTGAAGATGATCAAACACCGGAGTGTCTGGAGTATATCGTCTACGAAAACCATGATCTAGGGCTTTATCAAATGATACTAAAATGCAGACCATAGCTTTTCATCAGGTCCTTATATTTTCTGGCAACTCGTGGACAGGAATATTCTCCAGCTCTGCCATATAACCTGGACAGTCCAACCCTCTCGGTTTGCCTGAAGACATAACAGGGCCAGATTGTATCACCGGTGCTTCTGTGATGGGCATTTCCTCTTGAGGGGGTTGCTTCTGTGATAGGCGACGCATGAAATACCAAAGCAAGGCAAGAATGATTGCTAACCCAACAACACCACCAACTACGCCACCTGCTATAGCGCCCGATTTTGAAGTAGAAGGGCAAGTTGACCCATCGGCGTCTAGTTATATCAGAAGTGGGCTCATACCAAGTAAGCAGGATATGAATCTTACCAGTTATAACCCTCGGCTGCCACAAATAATCAGAAGTTTCAGGATCAGTAGAATCCCGACATCCAACTCCTGTTGTATTATCGTTAAAAATTGTAAGAAACCCATCTGTCTTCGGCAAGCAACAGAAATATCCATTGTCCCTAGTGTTTCGAAAAAGAAGCCAGCTTTCGTCGGCGCAGTGTGCCGGGTTCTTGATATCCTCCATACAGTTATTGGCCGTCGGACAACATGCGCCTGACTCGTCAATGCTGGGCTTGGGACAGCATCGGCTGAATTCGCCCCATGTAACATTGCCTGATTCATTTTCCAAGCAGGAGCCTCGTCTGCGTAGTGCGAACCCGTGGGGTGGACCAAAGTCAACCATGACGGAGAAGAAAGAAATAAAATAATCAAAAGTAAATTAAGTGGAGCAGAAGACGTGCGCGATGTATATTAACTAGCTTTGGGGGGTCATGGGACAGAAAGAGTAATAATAAAAGTTTGGAAAAAGTTGGATTTCAAAGGTCAATAGACGCGAGAAAAGCAGAAAGAGGAAACCTGGTGAAGTTGAGGAGCCATTCATTTATTAATAAATGGCCTTTGTGCTCGGGGCTACATTGGCAAATCTCACTTCCTTGTCGATCTGTTGCCCATAATAGGTAGAACACAAAAAGTCAACGTAACAACAACAACTTGAGAGTCAGATGAAAAGGCTGATCTATGGGCACCTGGGTTGGTCATCAAATGGTGGAGAGGAGATACAGTGCGGCCCGGCATTTGACTGTATTGAAGAAGCGGGTGGAGTGATCCAACAGATATCAATCTGTTGATGGTAGGGTACGGCAGACTATGGAGGTCAAATTGCAAAAAACCAAATTTAGTAATGAATTTCACTGCCTTCACCTCCGCCTCTTTATTGTATACGAGGTATAAACCCACAGTCGGAAACTTGGCGACTGGGACATCGAAATCAACACCCAAGAAAAACACGTCTTTTTCACGCATCAATCGACTAATAGAAGCCCTCCGGCCCCTATAAACCATTCATGGAGGCACTGAAACCCTGTGGCGGTGTTAATGGATAGGCCCGGAATGCTAATGACTAGCTTTGGTACAAGAGATTTCTTTGAAGAGAGGACGAATGCCTGGTCAGGCCGCTCTATATACATATGCACGCAGTGCGGGGTAGATAGCCCATCTGATAATCTCTCTGTTCGGTAACCTTTCCGCCCGACTAAACATACCGCTTATGCAACAGGCGCAGCCTGTGGCAGCTGGTGGTGTATCACACGCGTCTCCCTCCGGAGCGAACAACGTGCCCTCCCAGCTCGCAGAAACACAGGCTATGCCAGACACCCCAACGCCAACCCGTTGGCGATCCAGGGACATGATGCAGCCTATTATTAGTGATAGAGGTGCGGAGATTATGAGTATAGATGAAAAGGAAGGCCGGTGAGGCCAGAAGCAGAATCAGGCAACGGAAGACCTTACAGAACACATTGATTGGTAGGTGTCACGGGCTCGGAATAGTAGATACTAACGAACTGAATTCCTATGTAAACCATTGTAGCCATCGACGAGAATTTCGAATCTAGAGAAAGAAAAGGAAACCTATCTAAGGGACGAAGGAGGTTCTTATAACCACTGCACGACAGGGTTTACCCATGTCGGTGTCATTTGTCATTATTAGTCTTATATGCAGCGTCGAGCCGTATGGGCGACGTCAAGCCGTGCACACGGCGTGAAACGTGGTTGCAGAAGTCACCACTTGGATCTGCAAAATGATGGTAAGTTAGTGTAGGTAAATCATTGTTTCTGACACGGCAAATAAGAACTTGTGCAGGCCTTTAATATTGATCATTTTACAAGGCTATTCGTTCTCTTCCTGTCTCTTGGTTTGTGTCAACCACTATACTCGGTAGGATGTCTCAGGCACTATTTGGAGTGAATGGAGGAAGAACTCTGATTGAGAAAAACTATCGATCGTAAGGCATTTTTATGTACAATCTGGCGGCCATCAATACTAAACGAAATCATTGCGAAAGAAGCTCAGAGAGACAAAAGGAATGCAAAGTGCATGGTGTACGTATGCGTTGACCATAGTTAAAGGATGCTGGCCAAGAATGGCAGGAGGTTACCAAAAAAGAAGCAGAAGAACTGGCGAATCCAAGCAGTTGCAGTAGCTAGCCAGCCTGATCCAACCAAACTCAAGCCAGTCAAGGACTGCCCCAAGGAAGCATGGAGACTACTATTCTGTTGTGAGGGAGACAAAGCTACCCCAGGCTCGCCATCGTCGGGTCGAGGCTTGTCAGCTGCAAGAAGCTTTAAACTAAGTTAGTGGGGTCTAGCTAAAGTAAGAAACAATTTGTACCACCTTTCGTCTCTTGCAGCCCAGACTGTTGAGTAACCTCCCCATCCTAGCTTATGCAGTATGTTGTATCTCCCATCGGCGAGAAAGCTTCCCAATGTAACCGGGTGGTAGCCTCCTTTTGTATAGCGATGAAGAGGCTCAGTATCAATGGTGCAGGAATACAGAAATCGATCCATTCGAGGTAGTGTAGAAAAAGAAGAGGCGAGGTTAAAAGTGGAAGATAGAAGAACGCTCCGCGATGTGACGAGACTCCTTGTAATCATCCGGTGGATAGTGCTAACATGCATAGTAAATCTCTCTACGTAGAAGAACAATGGCAACTTTGTAGTATAGGCTGACAACGGCCAGGTACTTAGTTTGTGCTAAACGTCGCGTAGCTTGGAAATTATGCAAACACAACGCGGGCCAACCATGTGGCTTCGGAACGCGCCCTTCCTTTCCCGTTGCCAATCAGATTAAAAAGGAAGAAGCCGCTTCTGCGTTTTGAAAATATCAGCACTATTTCCGATATACAGTAGCAAATCAATCCTCTGCGGGATGATATACCACTATCTATTCCCGATTAGGAAATATTATCTTACGGCCGTAACTTAATATCGTGTATTCTTCATTGTCTAGACGTCTATTCCCGATTAGGAAATGTTATCTTACGGCCGTAATTATGTATTTTCTTCATTGTCTAGGCGTTCCTTAGACATATTCCAAAATTATTATAAAGACCAAGAAGATTATTTAAAAGGCCAAAGAGGTCTTGGTTTCCGATTCCTATCGACAAACTGACAGAGAATTATCGCGGCCATGTCTCTTCAGTACGATCCCGATTTCCGAAAAGCAACGGAGCCCTTCTTTGCCCAGCAGCAGGCCAACCCCAGACCCCCAATGAACGACCCATTCGTCATCCGATCTGTGATCACACCAGCCATGGAGCTATCTATGGCACAGTTCCCTGAGGTTTTAGAGGTCACACATGAGGTATACCACATCACTTCCTACGACGGCCAACCTATTCCTGTATACCGAATCTACAAGCGAAATGCCAAGACTACTCCCGGCCCGGCTATAGTACACGCTCATGGCGGCGGCACGGTTTTCGGTGACGCGAGCATGTTCATCAAAATGCTCTCGGCCCTGGTCAACCAGAGCGGCGCGCAGGTCTTCTCTGTTGATTACCGACTAGCACCTGAGCACCCTTTTCCAACACCCGTGGAGGACTGCTATGCCGGGTTATCCTGGCTCATCGAGCATTCAGCTGAGTTCAACATCGACCCGAAGCGCATCGGAACGATGGGTGAAAGTGCCGGTGCAAACCTAGCCACGGGCATCGCGTTGATGGCCCGCGACCGGGGGCTTTCGCCTCCCGTGGCGAAGCAAATTCTCATCTATCCCATGCTTGACGACCGCAATACCAAGACCTATTCAGCACTCACGGGACTCTCGACGTGGTCGCCCGAAACCAACGTTGCATGCTGGTCGGCCTATCTAGGATCGGACTTTGGCACCGACCGCGTCTCCCCGTATGCGGCTCCAGCTCGGGCCCATCTGGAAGGTCTACCACCTACATATCTCGAAGTTGGAAACTTGGACATTTTTCTTGGTGAAACAATGGAGTATGCCTCGCGTTTGATGCAGGCGAATATCCAGGTAGAAATCCATGTCTATCCGGGCCTGCCTCACGCATTCGACACGTTTGCGCCATTTTGTGAGCCGGCGAAGAGGGCTCGGATGAATCGAGTGCAAGCGGCCTCTACCCTCTGACCAAAAATGAAAGTACATAAACGTGAAATGGAGCTGCCTTGCATTAGGAATTGAGTTCATCCCCTTGTGCCGTTGACTTCCGGAAGCGACAAACCGTCTCCGCATTAGGAAGGGCTCATATAATTCGGGGTGGTATTGCCAGGGCGGAGCGCAGCCAAGCCCTGTGTTTCAAGGCTGACGAATAAACAAGTCAACATAAGTCCGTAGGTGTCCTTTTGGAGGGTGAGGCGGAGCGGAAGCGGGCGCGCCTCGGATATTCCGTGGAGTCATCTTGGAGAGCAGATGTGGAGTAGATGTGGCGGCGTATCCGTGCCTTCCAGTAGCCCCCACCGCACAGGCATTTATCACCGTAAAGGCAAATTTGATGCGATTCCCACTATCTATAGCAATTCACCATGCATATCCACAAAAAAAAAAAGCTCATTCTCTTGCCCTGTAGCCACTGCTAAATCCCCCTGTTGAACTGGCGCCGGCGTTGGCGTCTTGGTTGGTTTCTTGCCGGTTATTTTTGCAAGCTGTTTCAATAACCTTTTCTCCTCCTTTAGGCGGTCTTTTTCCCTTCTATCCACGATTGATCGATTGGCATCCTTCACGCTGAGTACGATAGAGTCATTGAGGCTGGGAAACTCTCATCTGGTCTTTTGGCGCTTCCGGGGCTTTTGGAACTGCCTCATTCGCTCGACTGTATCGCTCATCATCGCAAGGTTTTCTGTCTGTATTTTCTGGTGCCCTAACACGCGCTGGAGTCCTCTCTGTAGCTTCGGAGTAAGCTCCTCGATAGAGAATATTTTGGAGAGCTTCTTCTGGTTCTTTTCGAGGTCTTGGGCACTCTTCGGAGGGGTGTTTTCGATACTAGAAGATGAGAGATTGAGAGGCGGAGTGGTCTGGCACTGGAGGTAATGCATCCTGAGGCTTTTGAGTAATAGCAGAGCCATCTGGAGAGAAGATTCCACATTCTTTGAAAGAATTGCGAATAATTCGCCGGTTGAAGGTCTTGTTTCGTACGGGGATGATATCTTGGAGGAAATCCGCCTTGCTAGGGATCCGTCCCGACTGCGAGATCCGGTTATTCTGCGTGCGGAAATGGTGCTTATAAGCGAGAAAAGGCTTGCCATCGAGTGGCTGGCAAAGATGAGTTGTATGAGGCCGAAAACAGAGAGGCCGGATATCGTACTCCTCGCAGAGTTGTAGAAATTCGGTTGTTGTATGGGAACCATGGCCGTCGAAAATTAGCACACGTTTTTCCCCCTTCCCCACGCGATCTCTCGTTGCTAAGTGGAATCTCTTGATCCATTCAACTGCGATCTCATCACTGATATATCCCGCCGGAGAAACAGCAGTCCAAATATCAGGCATCTCGTCAGGGTTATCCCAGCGGTCAAACCACGACTCCATCTTCTTAGCGCCCTTAAAAATAAACATTGGCTCCATCACCCATCCATCGGCGGCAATACACTCAATCGCGGTGATATTCTCTCCATGGTCATCTCCGGCAATCTCTGGAGCCTTCCGAGTGCTTAAAACCTTCTCGGTTTTTCCCTGGCCGACTTGGAAACCACATTCGTCGAAGTTGTATATCAGCGAAGGCTTCACCCCCGTAAGTGCAACAGCAAGTTGATCATACCAGTGGTGCAGATATCAAACATCCCCCGCTTCCAATCGCTTCTTCTCCTTGATCTCCTGCTTCAATAGACGCAGTTTCAGGTCCTCCGGTAGTCTCTCCATAAAGTGATACCCCCACATCTTTCCCACGCGATGATCGGAGCCGCCACGCGCCAGTGTCAAGTCTGCCCACTCCCTAAGCACCTCTGCCGTAATAGGGCAGCCTGCATCGCTTATACGAGATACCCACTGGACCAGGCCTTTCTCCTGATACTGGTTAAGGGCCTTGTTGACAGGTGTGCGGGCCGTACGGCCTTGTTTTCCGTCATGAACTCGACCGTACAGTGTGCGATAGGGGACGCCAAATTCCCGCGCGATCTTCGATAAATTCGGCGTTTTTTTCCTACTGGCCTGTGCAGTGGCCTCCGCTACACGTTTTTCATGTTCTCCGGTTGCTTTAGGCACACTGGGTGGATGGGAATAACCTCAAGAAGATGGGTGGTTGGAATCTTGCCTTTACGGGGTGATAAATGCCTGTGTGGTGGGGTGCACCCATCCGCGAAAGCGGTGGGGGCTACTGGAAGGCACGAATAGCATCGTCTGACATCTCATCTCACGTCTTCATTCGCGTCACTTGCCTCGTGTCTGATGCCCTTGTCATCTGTGGAAATTGTGCGAAATTGCCGTCACCAGCCAATAATTATTCCTATGACGTCGGACGCATCGCATGCCCCGAAGGGTCCATTCCCAGAGCATGTCGCCTAACACTAGCCTCCCTTCAGGCAGCGATGGACCTACCTCTGGAAGTAAGCCTAGACCCCGAGAAAAGGCCCGCCGCCGAAATCGGGTTATATATTCCTGTCTAGAGTGTCGCCGGAGAAAAATGAGATGTGACAGGACCGTGCGTGTACCCCGAGATTACCCATGCCACAATTGTCTAACGGGCTGGATAGGATCCCTGTCAAAATTGTCGCGCATCGCAGCAAGAGTGTGTTTATATCAGTTCGGCGAACGAAGATGCGCAATTCCGTCAAAGATTGACTGAGCTTAAGGAGGCGCAAGATGCAATCGACGACACTCTTCGAGGGGGCGTATATGACCGCCCTAAACCCCCAACAGGTGGCTCACAGCAAAAGCGCGCCAGGCAACCTGAACAGATTCCGACAGATGATACGGATAGCTCTGCCGATGACGGATACCTGGAACCAACGCCCCTGGCAGTGCAAGACGCAGCCTACACAGATGAAGCCGATGATGATGTTGAAGATCTTGGCTTCAGGATTGGCAGAATGCGGATGGGAGAAAGAGTAGGAGGATTTTACCGCCCAAAGATTGCCGATGAAGTACGTAACAGAAATATCCCTCAGTTTCCAATTATCATATGGCTAACCTGTGTTATTTTAGATCTTGGCCTCACTTCAACAGAGCCCCAGAAAGTCATCTCAATCAATACCATCACCGATGACTCCTGGTACGATAGAAGAGCTGTTACAACCCGGACCGTATTTTACAGCCCCTTCCATCAATTTGTTATTTAGCGAGGTTTCTTCCCGAGAGGATTTGATGCAGTACCTTCCTCCTCGAAGCATTGCAGATGGCCTGCTCAACTGGTATTGGGATGCAGTTCACCGAGTGGCTCGAGTTGTTCACCGACCATCATTCGCCCAAAGATACGAGACTCTATGGGAGACGATAGAGACCGGGTACCAGCCACCACCCTCGCTAGCAGCAATTGTCTATTCTATTCTTTTTTCTGCCTCGGTTGCCATGTCCGAAGAACAGGTCTTTGAACTTTGTCAATGTTCTAGGCAGGAACTGAAAGATAGCTTGCAACTAGGTACCGAGCTCGCTCTCGGCCGAGCACATCTGCTTAGAGCAAGCAAGACTGAGACCATACAAGCTTTTGTTGCATATTTAGTAAGTCATTATTTTCAGTTTTTTCTATTGGAGGGCTATTGCTGACCCCGTATGTCTGACTAGCTCCCAATGTGCCTCAATGAGATATCTCGAGCCCACTCTACCTTAACAGGCATGTTGATTCGACTGGCTGAGTGCATCGGGCTTCACCGTGATCCTGCTGAGTTTGGGTTCTCCCCGGCGGATTGTCAGACGCGACGCTTGGTCTGGTACCAGATCTGCTATCTTGATCTCAAAACAAGCATCGTTCAAGGACCTCGACCATTCATCCAAAGACACGGGTACACGACCAAACTGCCTCTGGATGTGGCTTCATTGCAATCTGCAAACAATCAACCAACTTGGAATGACATGATCCTGTCCATGATTCGATTTGAATGCCAGGAAATGCAACGGCAAAACATCGAATTTCGCACCAAGCTTGACCTAAAGAAACTCACATTGACGAATGTGGTATCAAAACTAGGGGCGTTCCGTACCGAGATGGATGCCAAGTACGGCCTTTATCTCAATGTAGCCTCTCCAACACCGATGCAAAGAATGGCCAGTCTAACGCTCAAAATGTTCGACGGCCTCCTCTATGTCAATACCTTGAGTCGATATATGACTAGTGTGACCTATCGGATTCCTGACAGATTGCGCCAAGTTGTACTAATTAAAGGCACGGAAGCTCTGGAAGCTTCCGTGGAGCTGGAAATAGCAAAAGACCTCCAGAAATGGGTCTGGTGGAGTTCCTCCTGGCAGGGATATCATTCTGCATTCCTGCTGCTTTTCGAAGTTTTCAATTTTCCACTGCGCAGGGAAGCAAGCCGCATATGGAAGTGCCTGGAATTTATCTTTTCGGATGCATTGGTCCATTTCCCTCCGGTGGAGCAGAAAGAAGGGCCTTTGAATATTCAGAAACTTATTGCATACAGGGATGGAAAAGCAAGGTTCTTGCTTACATTGATCGCTGAACACGCGCGTGCTTACCAAAAAGCGAAAGGAGTGAAAATGCCGGTCCTGTTCAAGGACTCGATGATTGTTGTTACGCCCCATAAGGATGGTGATGATTCTGATCCTAGAATGCCGCTGAACTACGCTCATGAGGAGCCCGAGGGAGGAGCAGGTTCTTCCAATGCGACAGGGATTCCAAGCAGTATCACCCCTGGCCGTGCTGGGAAACAATCAGAAATAACCCAACCGCCCTCAAAGATGTCAAGTGAAGGCCGTGCAGGTCCTCCTTATGAATTCTTGCGTACTACAGACAACACGGCGATACATTCCAGTGAATTCTCTCCCTGGGTGCAGGTAGAAGAGGGAGAGTTTGATGGTGACGGCAACCTAATGCGTAATACCAGTCCTCATGCCTACTCGAGGAATCTGGCCCCCAACGAGGGCTCATCGGCAACATATGGCGAGACAATTACACAACCGAAAGATGTGGACCCCCAAATGTTAGAGATTGACTGGGTAAGTGTATATGCCATGTAGAGCTTGTAACGCCTTGCTGATGTGCTTCATAGACCCTGTGGGACAGGATATTCCCACCGCAAATGAACGATGGGCACTTGGATATCTCCGATGATGGCTTTTGGAACATAGGTGATGACCTTGTCTAGAAGAGTCTCTAAAATGGAAAATATCGAGCCAAAAATCAAAAAAAAGAATGTCCCCTCCCTTTTCATAAGTCCAGCACCCAACATCAAGGTAACAGCCAATTTTGTCGGAGCCGGTATCATCCCAGCGTATACTACATTTGCTAAGAGATTAGGCGTCTCTGTTCAGGCTGCCAGTTACTTCACATCTATTCATGTAAGTCGTGCGGCTTTCATTTGTCCGACTGACGTTAATATGGAGGTTTATTCTATTCACTGGACTCGTCCCCTTTGTCCTCGTACCGTTCTCGAACAGATTTGGCCGTCGACCAGTTTGGCTTGCTTCCACCCTACTTATGGTGGCCTATCGGCTGCGCCAAAAGTTCCAGCTATGCCGCTATGATGGTCTGCTGTATCTTTGGATCCCTCTTCCTCGCCTCCCTCATTGCTCTCGGGCCGCCGGTCGTGGTAGAGATGTATCATGAGCATAAACGGGGTACTAAAACGGGTATTTGGATATATGTTTGCCTTTTTTCTACACAGGACGATGCTAATCTGGTTTATTTCTAGCGCGCTGGCTACTTTTGGCCCTCTTGGTCAATTTCTTATGGGCTTTTTGGGGCAGAGAGTAGGCTGGGAATGGATTTACTGGACATTTGCCATTACCAGTGTAGTGCAGTTTATTCTCTATGCGATCTTCAGTCCCCAGCCACGGTATGTCAAGAGACCAGTATCGACTACCAAGTCCCGCTGGATCCAGCAATACCTCTTTCGGACGCATTGATCTGACTCCCTTCACCTTTGTGTAGTTCTGTCGTCCATTTGAAATACTCAAGTACATGACTGTCCTTATTCCTATCTATGCGCACCGCATGATCTTTAATCTCTCTGCTGATAACTATGCTTACGGTGGAGATTCCACAGCTATCCTCGTGTAGGTCTCGGAAATATCATTCTCAGAACACACCCGAAAATCCAATATTTGACGAGCAAGGCTTCCGTGAACACTCCTCGCTGACAGAGATGTAGTTGGGCAACCACATTAGACATGAGAATTTGTCTTATCCAAACCCATATTGCCCGAGCATCAGAGAATAGCAGTGTCCCACCGTCTTACTCCTTACAAAAGAGGGATTCCTGCTGCAGCCACCGTGCTGTGGTAGGGATGCGTTGTTGTATGGCCTGCTTCCAAGGTTTGGTATAGCTGATAGTAAGAAGATTGTTTCTGATCCTATATTTCAATTTCACAGATTTGCGTCTCCGCTTCGAGTAAACTATTTCTTTAAGTGTCATTTTCAACCTTCATATGAGGACTGGATTTGCATTGAGATATATAGTTCTATAGTTGGACACTCGAAGAATGAAAAAACTCATATATTGTGGATAGGTATGCTCATGTGCTATTTTCCGAAGACCAGGAATAGCGGCGTCGAAGAATCCTACATCGACTTGGCCAGTTGTTCTCGCCGGAGTCAGAAGAATACTAGTATATTGCTGAGTATCCTGCCCAAAATCGGCAGTCAGTTCTTGTAGTAAAGATCTCCATTCTGATTCAAGCATAAAATCGACTTGTTTTCCTTCGAACACATGGTCAGTATATGGGGCATGTAGAATGCCTCTTCTCGTGTAGCACTTGAGACAGAAGGCGAAATCCAAACATACTGTGCACTTGAAGTAATTTCCGTTCAAAAGCTGATAGTCGACTAGTTTGGATGGCGTTTAGTAGGGCAAAGTTACCACCAGTCAGTCACTTACCCAGCGACAGAATCGCACCAACCATCCCCAGCAACCGCAATCTTCACTTCAGCCTCAGTCACTCGGTGAGATGAATGTTGCTAAAGAAACTGCTCGGAATAGAATTTACTAATATCCGTCAGACATAATACGATAGTATGCCCAGAGGGTATGATCGGCCGGGGTCTATGGCCAACATCCGTTTAGTATGGCCAATGCATATGTTATTTTTGCACTGTCTGTGGAACCTGAGGCTCAAGTCGAACCGGACAGGTTCGACTCTAAGAATCCTGGAGTTGGATCGCGACTCCAAGATCTTGGAACCTGAACCTAAGTCTTGGTGGTTCCGAGTCGAATCGAACCTGACGAGTCGCGACTCCCTACGAGGTCTAGGCTCATCCCTGGTCGCGCGACCAAAAAGCGGCATCACCCTCTAACTTACCCAAGAGGCATCCACCGCACTATTGACCGCAGTTAAGCCACACGCCGGCCGGTTAGTAGTTGGGTTGGTGACCACCAGCGAATCCCGGCTGTTGTATGTTTTTGTTTCCCCTGCGAGGGAAGCGAGCAAGTGTCACCATGCTAGATTGTTATTTTTATACATAGAGCTTAAACAATTACGGTGATGGGAAATGATCCGGCCGGAAAGCTCAGGATTTGTGGCTTAGCACCCTTGTTTGTTAGACAATTCAACCGATGTCTTCATTATAGCTCGCCTAGAACCAATAGATCCCATCAAAATCCATCTTTCCATCCTTTTCCAAGACTTGCAAGCGATGGACTATTTTCTTCGCAATCTGCTCGCCATATTCAATTCCAACCTTTGGCCTAGGCTGTCTTGGATCGATGTCCTTGCTTATGTCGTGGCGGAGCCATGGCACCCTGCTTAACCCTTCGCAACTTTTTCGGAGCTGCTCAAAGTCCGTGTCATTATATCCACCTCCTGCCACGACTGCTGCTGTCCTTTTTCCGTACTCTTGAGTTCCGAGATTTGCCCACTCCTTGGAAGGAGGGGGCTGTCCGCGCAGAAGAGATGGAATATCCCTCAATCCAGCCTCCACGGAGTTAATGACATGGATCACTTTTGGTTGATTAGCTTTTAAAGTGATGCAAGGATATCATATATTTTCACAGTAATAACTTACCCTCATATTTTGGCCTAATGCCTTCTTTCACACCAACCAAAACATGCGGAGACTTGCCGCACACTATGATGGGTATGGGTGGCATGATATTTCTTCCTCGGGAGGGACATGTAAATATCGGCTGTCGATGAAGGTTGAGGTTATAAGCGACACAAGTTACTCTGACTTGAAAACAATTCAGTACCATATGTCAATCCCGAGGCCGATCTAATGACCAATCTACATCGAAGTACGGAATACCGAAGTCCGAGTATGACGCCACCTCTAAATCGTGCAATGGAATGATAATCAGAAATTCTGGACCCAAGGAACTGCTATATGTTAGTGGCCCTCCTCGAGCCATCTACTACAGGTTCACACTTGGTGATAATGTCACCAGACTTATGTATCCATTCAAGGGAGGCTCTTCTTAATGCCCACTCCTCATAATTGGAACGAAAATCGAATGTGTATACATAATCAATGCTTGGGAGTGGTTTATTTACATTGGCATTCTAGTCATTTCCTCTGCAGACCAGTATTTCCGAGTCTGCTCTGCGCCCAATTCCCGGACCTCCTCGTCCAGATGCTGCCATAATACCGGTCCGAACGAATCCAGAATCACCTTCATTTCATCCCACCGTAAGTCGGAATCGCCTCGGAGGCAGATCTGAACATGGACCTGGAGTTTTTCAAGGCCCTTGTGGATTACCTTATGCTGCGCAATCAATAGATCCTGGTTGGCAAAGGCAGGCATGCGCTTTGCAAGGAATGGGAAGACGCGAATCTGCAAAGAATGTTACTCAATTGACCCAAGCATGATGAAGGACGGCTCGGTCGGCCATTTATATTATACCTCTTCAATCTGGTGGTGTGTTTCGAGATTCTGGCAGAATTCCAAGCACAGTTTGAGGTAGCGCTTGATAGACATGCCGGCCGGTCGTTGCGATGATTCCGCCACCCCGTAAATTACATTCCACTGGACTCGAAACCATTGATGCTATGGAGATGAATCATGATTAGTCCGAGTTTTGCTTGCCGTTACGGACATGATACTCACCAGTGACTGCATGGTATCCGCCATGTGGTTGAAAAGCCTGAATTCATGATCGCTCAGGGGTGGGGGGGATTTTGCGATGAATGACCGGCCATTTTGGGAGGAAGAGATAGAGAGAAATTATCAATATGAATTCTTTCGACGATCTAATTTGTAATACCCTTGTATCATTTTGACTACACTTAGGGCGTGTGACGGTATCTATATCTTGTATTTAAACTTGTAGGAACCGATACAAAACCCGTCCCAAGGGAGATGGCTAGAATAGAATTATTAATCGCGATTGGCAGTTACGGAGTAGAGACGAGAATCCGAGTTCGTCTGATATTCGGGTTAAGTGTATGAAATATTTTCGGCCCCCGGCGTTATCTCGAGCCCGAACTGTCATCATGACTAATTCGCCTCAGAGTTGATCAGAACCCTATGCCGAGTTTTGGGTGTTCATAAAAGTGGGTGGAAGTTCCTTGATAAAAGAAAGAAAAAAGCCCATTCATCTTGGAGATCCTACTCAAAATTGTCTCTCTTTTGCAAATTCCTTATACTCCTTGGTCACTGTTTCAATTCTTACCTCGACTGATCTGATAAGAACAACTGAAATGACCTCGCCGTTCGTTGCAGTTGCTGGCGCCGCCGGTGGCCTGGGTCAGCTCGTTGTCATGGAGCTGATCAAACGAGGCATGGCCGTGAAGGCGCTTGTTCGCCCAAATACCGACCCATCCCGCACCGAAAAGCTTCGAGGCGCCAACGTTACTATCACTCCTGTTGATCTCTCTTCGATACCAGCTCTCACTCGCGAACTGACTGGAGCAATGTGTGTCGTCTCTACGCTCCAGGGCTTGAGGGATGTTATCCACACCGTCCAGGGCAAACTCCTCGAGGCCTCTGTGGCTGCTAAGGTACCAAAATTCATCCCTTCCGACTTTTCCCTCGACTTCACCAAGACAAAACCTGGATCCAACCGCAACTTGGATCTACGCCGTGAGTTCCACGGCCAGTTGAAAAAGTCGGGCATTGCATGGACAAGTATACTCAACGGTGGCTTTATGGATCTCATGGTTGGCGACTCACCGATGATCAACCATAAAAGCCGGAAGGTTGCGTACATCGGTTCGACGACGCAATTGCTCGACTTCACTACCATGGCTGACACGGCTGCTTACACGGCTGCTGTCGCTGTAGACCCGAAGCCTGCACCCAATTTCCTCCGCATTGCTAGTGATGTCGTCAATGTGAAGGACATTGCCGAGGCACAGACCAATGTGGAAGGACCACGATACAAGGCCTCATGGATGGGCTCCATCGGCTCCGCAGAGTTCATGATTCGAGTCTTGCGTCTTTTAGGGGGTGAGAACGAGACGTTTCCTGCTTGGCAGGGCATGCAATACATGGCAAACATGTTCTCTGGTGCTGGGAAACTCGAGCCGCTGGATAACAACCGATATCCCGAGCTCACTTGGACGAAGATTGAGGATTTCTTCCGAGAACACAAGAATAAGAAGTGATCCAGCCACACAGTTACTGGAGAGGACTTGTAACCTCGTCCACTTTCTGACATGTGTTTGTTTAAATCTATATTATGTTCGTTGCGAGGCGATGGTGGACTCGGCGCTCGGCTTGGTTGGGACCATGTATATATCACAGTTGTAATTTTGGTCGATTGTTGTATTCATCTAATATTTAATTTCTCTCGAGATCACCAGACAAAGCTAAGACGGCTAGCATAGAAATATTCGTAAAACCAACGCATTGGACTGCCAGACAAAAGACGCCCCGGGATGTCTCCATTCGAAGGTATAGGTCATGAACAGGTCCCCGTCCGCGCCCTCACTGACCAGCCCAGATTTGGTCTACGTTGAGCAAAGGGCTACTTCCAGTGGGGTTGAGTGGGGCAGTGAAAGCGATGTTATTTGTATTCTCTCAATAAACAGTTCAATGAGAGATTCACGGCGAGGAGGTAAGATCACTGATGCTTTTGCCATTCCGATAACACATGACGTCATGACTTGTATAGTGGCTCTAGAGCATTTGCTTCCCCGGAGTCCCCCCATTATATGCATTTTATCACGTATAGGGGGCAATAGATCATGTCTTACAAAGGAAGCACCGGGAAACATGATGGCATACCGCAGCAAGCTCGGGATGGCGGGATTGATGAAACGTACTCGGACGGCACTGAACGCATACAATTCAACGAGGATGGGCTAGAGACTGGAGTTCGATTGTTAGGTGAATATTTGCTCGTTGTCCATGCAAAAATACCTCTGTTGACCAATATATACTAGGTGATGGTCTGGTAGATATCCAGGTCAATGAACGTCAACCTAGCATCGCAGGATTGCTGAACTACACTCAACAGACACCATTCTCTCCAGATGTGGAACAGAACAAGAGCATACATGACATCGAAGTTGCACAAGAGAGAGCAGGGCAGCCCTTTCCAATGCATCTGAACATTGTCATTCAAGTCATTGGCTCTCGGGGTGATATTCAACCTTTCGTTGCGCTAGGACAAGAACTTACAGCCCATCACCATCGAGTTCGAATAGCCACGCATCCGATTTTTCGGGACTTTGTTCTTGATGCCGGCCTTGAATTCTTTAGCATCGGAGGAGATCCTGAACAGTTGATGGCTTTCATGGTTCAAAATCCTAGCCTAATCCCCGCTTTCAGCACCATCCGCAGCGGGGCTATTCAAAGACGACGACGCGAAATGAGAGAGATTATTGACGGCTGTTGGAAATCGTGCTCTGAGTCCGGAGATGGACGCCCATTTGTCGCAGATGCGATCATAGCCAACCCTCCCAGCTTGGCCCATATCCATTGTGCACAACGACTTGGCATTCCTCTCCACATTATGTTTACGTGGGTTTGTTCCAATCACGTCAAAAGTAATGCATATGATCGACCAACTTATCTATTCTGATAGTATGCCTTGGTCACCAACTCAGTCATTTCCGCATCCACTGTCTATCACACATCCAGAGCACTGCAAAGAAACCACTGCGAACTTCATCTCATATGCGATTGTAGATATGATGGTGTGGGAAGGTCTCGGTGACATCGTCAACAAATTTCGCAGAAAGTCACTATCACTTGATCCCTTGGACCGAATAATGGCCCCAAGCGTCATTCATCGATTACGGGTGCCATGTGCCTATCTTTGGTACGATGATACCTTTACATGAAGAACTTCATTAACTATGTGACAGGTCACCCTCATTGCTTGACAAACCTCCGGATTGGTCTTATAATATCGACGTCTGTGGATTCTGCTTCCTTCCGTCAAAGTTAGACTACAAGCCACCGGCTGATTTAGAGGCTTTCCTAAGGGCAGGCCCAAAGCCGATATATATCGGATTTGGCTCTATCGTGGTGGATAATCCAACAAAACTCACAAGTATTATATTTGAGACGGTTAAGAATACTGGACAACGTGCTTTGATATCCAAAGGCTGGGGAAACATTGGGGCTGGGAGCGCTATTGATATTCCCGATAATATTCTTATTGTCGGAAGCTTGCCTCATGACTAGCTTTTCCAACGGGTTTCGTGCATTGTGCATCATGGCGGAGCTGGCACCACGGCTGCTGGACTCGCACTAGGCTGTCCGACTGTGATAGTGTCCTTCTTTGGGGACCAGCGATTCTGGGGGAGGGTTGTTGCAAGATCAGGAGCTGGTCCAAAGTCGATCCCTTATAAGAAGCTGACAGTGGAAAACTTGACTGAAGCTCTCCAATTTGCATTATTGTCATCAACAAAAGAAAAGGCACAGATAGTCGGGGAAAACATCCAGAAAGAATCAGGGGCAAGGGATGCTGTACGCAGCTTTCATCGACACCTTGATTTAGAATCATTACGATGTGCCATCTGTCCCTCTCGACCGGCTGCATGGTGCACCAAAGACACAAAAATTGGCCTAAGTGCTTTTGCTGCGGCTGTCTTGGTCAATAAGGGTAAACTCAAGGCTAAAGCCGTGGTTCTGTGGGTTTCTTCCAAAACATTTAAGCAGTACTACAACCGCTAATCCATGAGTTAGCCACCGCTCCAAAGAATATGACACCTATCGTGATCCGAGAGGACCAGTTAGTGCTGGTGCCCAGATTTTTTTCGGGGCCATTGCGAACTTCATTACAGGCATTGCGAGTGTCCCCACAGATATTGTTGCTAACGTGATTTCCGTAAGCCACGCCATAAACCACCCTCATGTACATAGTAATCCTCTATCTCAATGTGGTTGTCCCGGTCACGAAGCCTTGCGGGCTGAAGGCGAACGTGCTGAAAACGAAGAGGAGGGACCTGGGCTCCCAGATGAGGGTGGACATATCGATGCAAACATATATGAGAATGGGCAGCATGCAAGGGATGCCTTGCCCGAATCGAGTAACGAGCAGGATGGAGACACGCTGCTTCAACAAGAGCAGACTATGAGCAGCATGAATCCGGCGATTGGATTTCAAGGTTTCATGTCAGAGGCAGCGCTGCATGGCATGAGAGGGTTGAAAAGAATTTTTAACGTCGTCATCTGGCTACCAACAGACCTTACGCTCAGCATGACAAAAGGATTTCACAATGTACCCAAATTATATCATGACGTTACGGTTCAGCCCAGTCCGAGAGTGACTGGGTTTCGAAGTGGGTTAAGGGCTGCCAGAACCGTATGTCTATTCTTCGCGATATTTTGCTCTTTTCTCTTCCTATGCACGTTGCACTTCTTCGTTCTAAACTCTATCATAGGAATTCAAGGACGGTTTCTACCATGGTATCACAGGGCTCGTCACTCAGCCCAGTCATGGCTTCAAAGCCGACGGAGGGAAGGGGTTGGCCAAGGGAGTTGGAAAAGGCATCGGTGGGGCTATAGTTAAGCCTACTGCGGGTAAGTGTCATGAATTCCATTATCCTACCTACCGTTTACCATAATCCCAATTCCAAGTCATTGTTTTCTGACAATCGTGCAACTAGGCCTATGGGGACTAGCAGGATATCCTTTGAGGGGCCTGCGCAGGAAGCTTCTCAAATCGCTAGGCAAAGATATAGAAAGACACATTATTCAGGCACGAATTGCCCAGGGCCATGAAGAGTTGCAAGCATCATCGGCCGAGGAGAAAGCTGAGGTGGTCGATAAATGGGCTCTCATTGAAGCGGAACTACGAAAGACATAGTGTCGCCTCCGATAGTGGCATAGTTAATCTTCAACCATATCAGCTTACATAAATTTATCCATTGCTTACAACGATAACGTAGTCCACGGGCGAACCGCGGACTTCTGTATTCCATATAAAATGGCACTTTTTATCACCTCAATATCTCAGCCACCAATAGATATAGAGGCTTATTTATAAGACAAGAGTATGTATACACACACTAGAAGAAGGTATATTACTTTTTAAAGATTTTGTAGCTTTTTGTAGCTATAGATGCTTGAATATTGGAAGATACAAAAAAAATACAATGGTAATTTATATTACTTGGAGAAACATTTATCTGTAGAAGCTTCTGCTCAGTGTATATAATTTCAGTATCATAATACTCTATAATAAGTTTTAGGCTCTGTAGATACCTTGCAGTTGAGATATTGAAGGTATAAAAAGTGCCATTTTATATGGAATACAGAAGTCCGCGGCTCGGCGGCCGTGGACTACGTTATTGACATAAATTAAAGCAATCCAGGCGTCTGAACTGGATGTACTCCGTAGGATGGTCATAAAGCGGTCGGGGGTCGGCATTTTACGAAGGCCGAGCCCTGGTCGTAGTGGACAAATGTACTCCGGCGGGCATCGCTCGAAACGGAAGTGGCGGGAATCTGCAATGTGACGCCGAGCTTGATTCGCTTTTTCTAATCCAAGGTTCAGATCGCGGCTGGACATATAAAAGCTCCTTAACTCCTTAACTTTGGAATTCTATTCTCCAAACAAAGTAACCACCATCATGTCCAAGTTGATCACTGTTTTTGGCGCCACCGGCAACCAGGGTGGTTCCGTCATCGATTCCATCCTTGCTGATCCTCGGCTCTCTAAGGAATTCAAGATTCGCGGTATCACTCGCGACACCACCAAGAAGTCGGCCCAGGACCTGGCTAAGCGGGGTGTCGACGTTGTCTCTGTAAGATTCGACCTTCATTCCTTCTCATTTGAAGAAATAATCACTGACGGTAACAATTACATCAGGCCGATTTGGGTTCTGTCGACTCTCTCACTGCTGCTCTCAAGGGCTCCCACACTGTCTTCCTGGTCACTAACTACTGGGAAACCATGAATGCCGACATTGAATACTCTCAGGGCAGAAATGTGACCGATGTTTCCAAGGCCGTGGGTGTTTCCCACCTCATCTTCTCTTCCCTCCACCATGTGAAGGAGGAGAGCAAGGGACGTCTCACCCATGTTCCTCACTTCGACAGCAAGGCCAATGTAGAGAAGTATATCCGTGCATCAGGCGTCGGATGCAGCTTTGTGCTTCCCGGATACTACATGGGCAACTTCACCCAGATGCTCACCCGGGCGGAAGATGGGTCATACCAGCTCTTCTACCCTGTTGGCAAGCAAGCCAAGTTTCCTCTTTTTGATGCTGCTCAGGATACCGGTAAGGCCTATGTTTCCTATATTTTTGAACAGTAACTAACCTCGTATTTCTTCTAGGCCTCTTTGTGAAGGCTGTCCTCAAGCACACCGATCAATTGAAGAACAAGCAAATTCTGGCAGCTGCCAAGTACTACACCCCCGAAGAGATTGTCGAAACCTTCTCTCAGGTTTCTGGCAAGAAGGCTGTTTTCATTAAAGTCTCTTCAGAGGAGTATAAGGCCTCTTTGCCTGCCGCTGTTGCTGATGAGTACAATGAGAACCAGCTGTTTGTCGAGGAGCCCGGATATTATCTTGGACAGCCTCTCGAGCCCAGCCTGAACCTTCTTGACTCTAAGCCCACTACCTGGGCGGAGTTCGTCAAGAAGAACCTTTCTGCCTGGAAATAAGCATTTCATGTGGTCCTCATACTTTGTATCGGGACGGAAGCTAATCTCTACTTCGATACAAAATTGTCAATGCTATTTGTCTGAACCAAGCGCGAGAACCCACATTCTTACTACCGGATCCCAAGTTGAATCAAAGGCGCATTTTACTTTAGTCAGTAGAAGAAGTCACATTACTATTAGGAGATTGCAACGGTACCAACGCACTTCATAATTCCGAAGAATTTACTAAAGCCCTCATGTCCTCAGAAATAAGACCCTTAAAATCACCGAAGACGATAGAATCTTTCGGCCACTAAACAATTTGATCAGAGCACTGCCCTATCAGCAATAAGCTACCTTGAGACAAGCAAGCTCCTTGATTTCAATAACATCTGCCAATACCAAAAGTGCCGCAAGGCCAATAAGGCATACAAGCAGCGTACAACCGATGGATGTGATAACCGACCTATCAGGGCTGATCATTAAAGTCCAGTAGGTTATTACCAATGGCCACTCTTTGCCCTTCCTGTGGCAACGACTTCCTAAAACAATGACGGTGAACAAGACATGCCCACTCAGAATAGAGCACGATTTGAACTCTCTATGGACTTAAATTATAGATGCCTCATCTGTGTGTTCTTTCCAGGTTGGACGACTTTATTCTATAATCAATTGACCTGTTGTGATCTACCAGTCTATAGCTTTTATTTCTGTCGCGGAGCTGAATTGATAATATGAATTATGACAATCTCATTTAACAGCCTGACCAACCTGTCCTGGTGCTGGGTCGTCCATTCTCGCCCTTCTAGTTCGACAAAAACATTCATTTGGTGAAAGAATTGAACTGATACAGATATGGAGCATAACAGGGGATTGCTTGCTCAAGTGCCGGCGGCGGTATATATTAATTTAAATCGTCTGAATCCACCACGTCTAAGTTGTCCTTGACCTCGAGGATAAGTTTCACCACTTTTTCCCAGCCTTTTTCTTCAGCTATCAACAAAGTTGTTGCTCCCTCGTTATCTGCACAGTATGGATCAGCGCCACTCTTCAACAATAGTTTAGCTGTTGAGGGCTAGCCGTGCACTGTCGCCCAAAAGAATGCGCTGCGGCCGTTGTTGTCTTTGGAGTTGGGATTCAGTGTTCTTTCGAGTAGGATTTGAACCACTGAATTGCGATCATGGCTACCCGTTCCCTCCACTGAGGCCCATAACAATGGTGATCGACCATTGTTGTCTCTGGAATTGGGCTCAGCCCCGTGGTCCAGTAGTAGATTCACGGCACTGTAGTGGAACTTTCCTGTTGCGGCCCTTGATAGAGGGGTTCGTCCATGCTTGTCAGCTGCGTGTACATCAGCCCCTTTTTCCACCAGCAGCTTCACCATAAAACCGTCGTCAGCGGCCCATGACAGAGGCGTTTGACCATCCTTGTCTTTTGAGTTTAGAGCAGCCCCCTTCTTCATGAGGATTGCAGCTAACGCTGTATTGTGACCGTCCACTGCCCATGATAGAGGTGTTTGGCTGTCCTGGTCACTAATATCCGGCTCCGCCCCTCTCTCCAGTAACATCTTGACTAAACCTGTATTGCTTTTGCATGCTGCTGCGTTTGGCAAGGGTGTCTGGCTGCAATTGTCCTTGAGGTCAGGGCCTACCTGTCTCTCCAAGAGGATTTTCACAATGGACTCACCATCCCCTCTATCAGCAGCATATGAAACTGGACTTCAACCACGCTTATACCTTAAATCAGTGTCTGGGTGCCATCATGATTCCAAAATTCTCTGTTCATAACAACCCATGAAAATACGCTTCTTCCGTGGTCATCTTTAGACACCCGATCAAAACTCCAGAAATTCCCATGCTTCGTAGCATGGTGGCGCAGCCCATGACACCGGAGGTCGCCCATGGCAATTTCCGGACTCTGGATTTGCCCCCATGTTTAAAAGAAAATTGACCATTAAGTGGCAGCGACCGCCTCTAACTGCTTCCAAGAATAACGGAGTTCGCCCTTGGTTGTCCCTGCATTCCAGATCAGCATCCGCCTCTAGAAGACGCTTCACGGACTCAAAAGCATCTTTAATCTCCATATCCTCCTCGTCAAAGACATGGAAGCACCGCTTTGGATCAGAAGACTGACAATTTCCCCCTTTCCCAGACTCATTGCCAGTGACAGTGGACTCTCGCCGAGCCAATTCTGGAAGTTCGGGTCGGCACCTAGTTTTAATAAAATACCGACCATGTCCCCCCACCCCTGCCTTACTGCCAATGAAAGAGGAGACTGTGATGACCCAAATGACCTCTGATCGGCAGAGTAGCTGGGAAAAGCCTTTGGAGTCCCAGGGTCTGCTCCTCTTTCTAAAAATATCCACGCAATTTGTAGGTGTCTATTTTCTATGGCGCGCATCAGGGGAGAATAGCCGTAACCATCCGAGTTGGGGCCAGCGCCCTTGTCAAGTAACAATTTCACCGTTGACTCTCGGCCACTATCAGTGGCATGGAACAGCGGCGTGCGGCCTCCGGAGTGTCTTAGTTTGGCGTTTGCGGGATCACCTTCGAGGATAATCTTGACCGCAGCGTCCAGTCCGAAATAAGCTGCGACGAATATGCCCTTGACAGACTTCGAAGGATCCTGATTTCCTTCCGGGATCACAATACCCAAGGGCATCTTAAGTGGCTGTGCACACATGACCACCTTTGTGTCGTCTTTCAGTAATCGCATAACCAAGGTGTCTGGCACCGGCTGTTCTCGAACGTGGTGGCCCCAGTTTCGACAGGCATAATCATACAGGCAAAATTTCGTCATGAATGCCCAATATCCTTTTGCCTGTCCATGCTCAATATCATGAGCTATCACGTCTTCGAAAGCGTCATAAGACAGATATGTCACACATGTCATGGCAATATCCCGATGCGCGGCGGGAAACCAACCCTGCCAACTCCGCTGAAAATATTCCTGCGTGGTATAGTGGACCGTGTTGCTTTCCCTATCCACCGTGACCAGGCCAGCACATAGCGAGACAACGTGATCAATTCCTGACATATTGTCCGGGTCGAATGCTGGCTCGCCAATCTCCACTGCCAAAGCGTGCTCCAGCTCTGTAATCCTCAACCGCCGCCTGGCACACACGATCCATGACAGCGCCTGTTTTGCCAACTTGGCCTGCTCGTCTATCTGCCCCTCAATTCGATTCATAGCGCTCTGATACGCGCAGTCATACACATCCAATCCACTTGGGAGCTTGCTGAGAGCTGTCTTGATTGCCTTTGGTGATCATTTCCCAATCAGAGAGCCGAGATGCAGATAAGCTAGAAGAAACCTGCGACGATTAGTTCCAGGGTCATGCACATACAGGTAGGTAATCGACTTACATTCCATCTACAGCTTTGGCAATTCCAGTGATAACTTCTTTCTGCAGATCAGCGCTGCTTACTACGAAGGACGGCAGTTGTGAAATGTGACCCTGTAGGTATTTCTCCACATCATCACTGTTTGCGCGGATTTCCAGATGTGGACAATTCTCAAATTTTGCAGTAACCTCCGGGATGAACCTCGATGTTGCAAGGAGGTGAATATGATAGCGATTCTGGAGCTCCATTACCGTTGACAAAGTCCGACGTGCTGCGTAATCAGACTCATCCAAGGCGTCGAGAACAATAAAGGTTTTCGAGTAGTTAGAGATGGCGGAATCGAGGGCATTGCAAAGCTCGCCATATGATGGCCGCGTTCCTTTCTTTTGACTAGCGTCGTGAATATCCTTCACGACCTTGGGAATCCAGGCATTCTTAATAAGCAGCTGTTTCAAGATACCAGCAATCGTTCCCTCGTCTGTTTCCTCGTGTTGTAACTGGAAGTTGCAGAACAGAAACGTAATTCCCACCTCTTTATCATCCCGGAATCTCCTATACAATTCATCAACCACAATAGAGGCAATGATTGTTTTGCCGGCTCCTGGTGCACCTGGGCAAAAAAGTGTATGCTGATTGCCAGCGAGCCAATTTTTGAATTTATTGTCTTCTAGAAACCAGTTTCCCGTATCTTCTTGTCGTCGGCTGAGGTGGTCGCTCAGCTGTGCTCCGTTGTCTGTATCCTTGAGCCAGGACAGAATCGTTCGAGCTTCTTCAGACTGTTTCCACTCTTGCTGCTCATGTCTCGTGGCTTTAACTTCTTTGCTGATATCTTTGCCTACTTCTCAAATGTTAATGAATTGTTCTCTAACAGACAGAAGGAAACTAACTAGATCCGAGAAAATCGAGGGCCCGCTGTGTCTCCTGGAGGTCCCTGGTCGGAACGTAGCCGAGGAGTTCTTTTCCATAGGCAGCGGCGGTAGTAGACGCATACCTCTGCCATCGATCATTCTTGTGTGAATCCGCATAATCGCAAATGCCCCTAATAACGAGACATGGAAAGTGATTCATAAGGCCAGCGGCTTCCATCTCGAAGCAAATGCATTTCTCGCCTACATCTTGCACAATCTTGTCCCGTTTAGCGGCATCTTTCACCAGGCTGTTCCCAGAGGCGATGATACCATAATGAATTTCGGGGTCCATGGAGACTCGTTCATCGCGCTGCACTTGCTCCGTTGCGTCGCAGATGCGACAGTCATGTCCAGCTACATGATTGTAGGACGCCTTGAAAAGCCGATCGTTCTCGAATCCCTGATGGACGTACCCATTCTCTCCTTTGTTCCCATTGACCGTCCGGGCCCTTTTCTGGGGCATCGCCCCAAGTAGCTCGGGTATTCTAGATTCCCTCATTTCATGTTCTGCTTGCAAATTTGCCAGTGCTTGGAGTAGGACCCGTGGCAGCATGCTGAGAAAGTCATTCCGTTCCCATTTCTGATTGGCCCTCACCTTCCCTAAATCATACTGAATCACTCCTCCAGTTGTGCCCTGTGGCTGACTGACGACGACATCGCCTAGCCGGATATTGCGACCCTGCTCAGGTCGGGCGATGCCACCGCCGATTCCCACCAGCAAGCCAATTCTAATTTGGGGCAGGGATGACAGCAGGTTTGACGCTGTGGTTGCAGCGGAAGTTGTTCCGTATAACCCTGCGGGAAGCGAAGCAATCACAACATTGTGTTCGCCTATCTTGCCCCAGGTGTAAGAATTGGTATCCGCATGATGTTGAACAAAGCTGCACGGCTCATCGTGGCGCTCATCGAGCATCGCAGTTGCTGCGGCACGCTCTATTGGTAGAGCTGCAATCCAGCCTACCGTATACAGATCAGGGCTGCCCAAGGCTTTGACAGTCGCCATGGTTCAAGAGTTGCTCTAGCAAACCTGGCTCGGCGCAGCTCTCCGGTCGTGGATCCGCGGGCGCTAGATTATGGCGATTGAGTCCGGTGATACACAATAGCAGAAATGTACATAGAGATATCGTGACATTGCTTCACGCTTGGACACAGACTCAGGAGAATTGGACTTGCGCGCGCTCAAGGCTGAGCCTCAAACATATCTATCTGCCACGTCACACGATGGTTTCATTGGCCACATGAAGACACGGACAGAAGGTCGTCAATCATAGCGCTTAACCGTCGCTCAGCGTTCTAATTGTCAAGCATATCGGGTATAATTCGTATTCTTGGAAAACACCCCATTGTGTCCATTGGTTTTCTTCTTAGAGAGGCTGTTTTGTTAAATCAGCCGGAATAGCAGTGCGAGTCCATCGTACCACCAGCATAATCCAGTTTACTTTACAGTAGTGAAGAGATTACATTTGCACTTCTGCCACAAGTAAGAATAGGCGAGAGTCATTGTACCAAGCACAGTATTGATTAGGTTCAATTGAATTAGGAGAGAGATACACTAACACAGCTGAAATACGGCATACTTATAAATGCCATCAAAACTAACCTACCATATTCCCACTAACAACTAACAAAGACAAACCATACGGCTCAGGAAGTGGTACAGGGACATCTCATGGGTCACAAATCACTGTCAAGCCATCTTCCTACCATCTTCAGACGTGAACCTTGGGTCCAGGATGACCATGGCCTTTGGGGAGGAGTGCAGGCCCTGGGTTAGGGCAACTCGGCACCTTCTCCTCGGGGACACAAACACCGGTTTGCCAACAGTATGCGGCTCCGGGACCACAGGTTTTCCGAACAGGCTGACTCCCGGCGGCACACTCGAAAAAGCTGTGGCAGTCTTGGTGATCGGGCCAGGCGTGTCCAGGCTTGCAAGGAGGGAGGGGGTGCGCTGGAGCCGGGTGCACTGGAGCAGGATGCGCAGGATGGTTCACTGGAGGGTGGTTCGCTGGAGGATGGTTCGCTGGAGGATGGTTCGCTGGAGCAGGGTGCGCGGGAGGATGGTTCGCTGGAGGGTGCACTGGTGGATGGTCCGCTGGAGCCGGGTGGGCCGGATCAGGGTGCACTGGAGCAGGGTGCGCAGGATGCTTCGCTGGAGGATGGTGTGCTGGAGCGGGGTGCACTGGAGCAGGGTGCGTGGGAGGATGGTGCGCTGGATCAGGGTGCGCTGGAGGAGGGTTCCCTGGAGGAGCTGCGGAAGCAGCAGCAATAAGAACGGCCAAGAAAACCGACACAGTTCGGAAATGCATGTTGACCTGTATATAGGTTAATTAGCCACAAAGGTATTGGTGGGACGAATCTAGCACATACTTGTTTTGCTTTGGGCAACAGTGGACGGGGCAAGTAAGTATTGAAGTTCACAATGTGGAATGATTTGATGATTTGGATGGTTTGATTCTGTTTTGAAAGTAAATTGGACTGGTTGATTGAGGGTTTTTATAAGTTTACAAACGCTGACCATGATACGAATCCGTATACTACAAAGAGCACTGCATGCAGAAGTCTACTTGCATTCCACATTGTCTTCGGCGTTATTATGCTTCACCACACATCGAAGTTCGCAGTGACAAGAGAGCCGAGAATGCCGAAACTTTAATGGCTGCAGCTTTGAGACACATGCATTCTTCTGATCTCGTAACTTGCATAGAATTATATCCGCATCCATCTTCAATATTGACAGCAGCCTTTGGCAGCAGTCGTAAATGCCCAGTTCCGTCCCTTGGCTCGGCGCTGGTATGAATGCTGAATACATCCGTCAGTGACAACTCATGAAAGACAAATATGATATTGTACTTTGAAGTAGATATGTATAGCATTCTTTCGGATAACTCTGGCATGTTTGATGTTTCCGGGGTTCGATACACACGTGACCTTACGCTGCAAGACGGCGAAGCCGGCAGAGCCTTCATAAGATACACCGGCTTTGGATGGCTAAGCACTCATTCTAGTATCATACGGTGGTCTAATAGAAAATCAATATCATCCCTTCTCAGTTAATTCAAATTTTCCTCTATCCGTAATATCCTCGGGGAGTCGATAATCCGGATTGCACAAGGCCAGTATGGTAGAGATCTAATTTTAACGATTAGAGTGATATATTCTCGCCTATAGATATGTATATACTCTCGCTTTCTTCGGGACTTCAGATATCAGTCCAACTATCAATACTTATCAAAGATAACGGGCTGGCGCCGTGACGTATCGTTCCTGGCAGCTATACAAGCACCTGCTTTATAGTATAGTTTCAATGGCATAAAAGATCTTGCATCCAGAGTCCAGGGGATAGCTCGTAAAACACTGCCGCCAACTCAATGCCGGCCTGCGCACATTCGGCCTGTAACTCAGCCCACACCTCAGACAAACTACTGTGCTGACAACTCAACCATTTCGACCAAGTCAACATGTGAATGGTAATGCGCTTCAAATGCGGTGTATGTGACTCCAGTCCTGCCAGAATATATCGCACGACTTGAAACAGATCTCGCTCGTCATACCACCTAGAGCATGTCACCGCGTGAAAGTCCCATTGGAGACACAGCTCACGGACCGTGTCAGGCAAGACGTTGATTACCTCTTCGGCGTTTTCGGGAAACCCAATAATATGGTTATGGGGACCTCCAAAGGCCACAATCTGGGGTATCCCTTTGTCAAGAACTCCCAGAAATCGCATCGAGCATGATATCAGTTAAATATGCACCCAATGTGAACGGGTAGTATTCTACCCCAAGAGACAGCTTCTCGAGTGTGTCACTGATACACTCCAGGCCGTCAACAATCTCCCATCCATCGCCCAGGACAGTTCACTCAGTAAATCGATAGGCCAGTCCCAGATGAAGTGTTTTCAAAGCGGAGGTCTTCTCGAGCAAGGTAAAAATCTCCGATTTCGTGACAGTTGCTCGGGCAATAATGAGGGCATGCAGTTGGTGCAAATTTGGTTGCTCCTCCTTTACATATTTCAAGCTTTGGAGCCAGATAGCTAGGGATTTCACAGATGGCAAATAGAACCATGCCATGAATTGGTCCGGATTGAAATCAGGGTAGCCATTAACATCATCCATTTTGCTAAACACATTCTGGATCTGGATCAGAAAAGAGGGCTTGTTTCAGCATCAATCCAGGGAAGCCTGACATCCAGACGAAGGTGCAGTCCGTAGTCCATGCCCAATCCTACTAGTTAGTTACAGAGTACAGCTAAAAAGTCTTGCTGATCATTGTTTCCACTTCGGGCCCCACGCCAGGCTGGCTGAGCTGAATTTCAGCTGAATGTATCGGCAGGAGGTAATGATATATCTACTCACTCTGAATACCGATAGTACTACCAATAATATTTATATGATTTGAAGGAAATGGAATTCCATCTTCTTCCTTGCCAGATTATTCTTCTCTGCAGAGTACAGCCCCAAGGTATCCGTTTGCGAAAATGACAGTACCTCAAAAATCAGAATGAACAACAAGAAAAATCCCCCAATGATACCATCTTCTACCGTTTACTTTCTGTCGCCTGGGAATTTCGCGGAACAGTTGTTTACGACACCACCGTCGGCATCGAGGTTGACTATGCTCGATTTTTTAATGATGTCTCAAGATAGCGTGCCACCCTGCGAAGGGAACTTCCTCAGTCGGTTTCCAACGAGCATGGTCTCGTCGATGGAGGAAGCCCGTTCATAAATGTACTGCCAGCCGGTGGATATGAATTTATTGTCGGGCTCTACGCCATTCTATCCATTGGCGCAGCCTGTGTACCGCTAGGCAAATACATAAATACATCAGCCACTGTTTACGTATCGTATCTCAAAAAAATACTGCTAATATAACCATGCTCTAGCGACCAATATTCTACCTGATGAGGCTGAGTATATCATGCAAATCACAGATTCGAACTTTCTGCTGGTAGGAAGGGATCGCATGACCCAGGCTACCAAGATAAAAGAACATGTACAAAAAAGTCACCTCGAGTTACACTTCATTAAGAAGAATATTTTAAGATATTAAAGAAAAGGTAAACAAAGAAAAACTACAGATGGATCTGGGAGTCAGGACTTTCTTTCCCGAATCCATTGAAATCACTTTCCGTCCTCCGAGAAGGACGCGTCCTGTACATTGGTCTGTTAAGTCTCTCAACAACACCCATAATGACAACCACGGCGAATCAATTTGGCGAGCTCTACGGCTTGGAGTCCTTCCAGGTCGGCCTGTGTTTAATGTGAGTGTTACCGACACCAAGCCTTAACGGTCACTGACTCCGCAATTCTTCCCAAATAGCCCCTTTGGTAATCCAACGTGGATGGCGAGGGAAAGCAGAACTATGACCATGCCTCAAGGTGCCATAAATGCCAGCATTCGTGTCGGGAATATAATATCACTCTCTGGCATCCAAACTCATCGTGACTGATGAGTTGTTTGGTGGATAATACATACAACTCCACCGTAAAAAGTACATAAAGAACCCCGCAATTCTCTGCTCCCGATACAACAACCAAGCAAATATCAGAGATAGATAGACCTTCCACTCTGGATCTCAAGCCTGCATGAGTCAATTGAGCCAGCCGACTCCGGAGGCACTGATACACAAGATTTGCCTTCATTTTGCGAAGGCTTTCCGAAATTAGCAAGTCGATTGTCGTCTTCTTCCGACTTGTAGTATCCACTTGGTGCAGGCCAAGAAGCTATCCTGAGGACCTTGGCCCCCGGAGCACCTAATTAGGGTTATATATTTAAGTCATTCAGTCCTCTGACGGACGGCTTTTGATTCTCCAAGGCCACAGGGGCATTATGGCTAGGATCACTTGCAGTTTCAGCTGTCAGCGTTTTCGGAGCCAAGCGGCTCTTTTGCTTTCTAGCTTTGTTTTCGCCAGTGCAGCTTCAATTATCAACAATGGGAACTTGGTCACGTTGGACGATATCAACTATTACGCGGGTGGGCCTTCTGTATCGAGAATTGTTTCTGTCGGGTCCAATTCAAACCACTCCACTGCAGACATTCTTCCGATCACAATCATTCGGACAGAGGAAACAGTGCTCACAGGCAACATTCTGCGAGATGTGATTTCAAACTATTCGTCCTCGGACGATGTTTTCCAGCCTGGATTTCTTAACAGTGAGTCTTGATCTTCACTCCATTCTCCCTTGAATAGAATTCTGTCTTAATTTACTCGCAGCAATCTTCCTAGCTTACGACGGGGATTGTCAAGGCAAGATTGACTTGTCCATTCTCCAAGCCTTGCAGGGAAAGGGCAATGAAGTGATTCTGGCTTCGCCTGCATATCAATCCCAAGAGCCTGTTAAAGCAGCCAAGCTGCACCGTGATATTCCCAAGGGTCCATACTTCTTTTCGCCCTCCACGGGTGAAATATATCAAGCATTCCGTCTCTATTCTGACCATCAGCTCGCTTTCACTGAGGCAGCTATCAGTGATGGGAAGGATGGGTACAAGCCTCTACCGGCCGTGACAGAGGTAAATAAACTCTTAACTGGATGATGTTGCAAATAATCTAATCTACTCCAGGGAGCCATGACAAAGAGCGTTGCTGTGCCATCCCGGCTGTACTATACACCCACCTCAGAAAAGCCACTTTTGGGGGTAAGCCTGTCAAAGGAAAAAACCAAAAAAAAAAAAAAAAAAACCGGTTGACTGACTCTGCATAGTTGCGACTAGGCGTCAAAGATATCTTTGATTTAAAGGGCTTGCGAACCAGTGGTGGCAACAGAGCTTTCCACGACCTCTATCCACCACGAAACGCCACTGCCCCAGCAGTACAGCGTTTGAGAGATGCAGGTGCTATCATTGTGGGCAAAATGGGTACCGTGCAATTTGCCAACGGCGACAACCCAACCGCTGATTGGGTTGACTTCCACTGCCCATTCAATCCGAGAGTAAGCCAGTATATCAACTCTGAGCAATCTTGCGCTGACAGCCTTCTCAGGGAGATGGCTACCAAGCTCCCGGTGGCTCCTCATCGGGACCAGGCGCTGGAATAGCTGCCTACGAGTGGCTGGATATTGCCGTGGGAAGCGATACTGGCGGCTCCATGCGCCACCCCGGTGGAATGCAGGGCGTCTATGCAAACAGACCCTCTACTGGAGCGGTTTCTCTTGATGATGTCCTTCCGCTTTGCCATACGCTTGACACAGCAGGTGTTTTTGCGCGTGATGCTGTGACATGGTCAAAGGTTATGCATGCATGGTACCTCAATTTTACAGACTACAGACAATACCCAAAACGGATTTTCTATCCCACGTCCTCGTTTCCAGATGCCAGCACCAAGGCTGGGTCCCTCCTTGAGAACCTTGTAGTCAATCTGGAGGAATTTCTCGGTACCAAGCGGGAATCTGTCGACATCTCCTCCCATTGGAAGAAGACGCATCCTTCAAAAGCCCCGGCAAATATAACGGAATTATTAAACACAGTAAGTGCAAAGCGGTACAAAAAATAGTTCACCAAAAACTAAACATTTCCAGACATATGCCGTTCTTACATCCGTTGATCAGTACCGCTCTCTCGCATTGCCATTCTACGCAGACTATGCAGAGAAACACGACGGTCGCCGACCATTTATAAACCCCGGACCTCTAGTACGATGGGCCTGGGGCCAACAGAATGGAGGAAATGCAGCCTACGAGGTAGCCCTAAGCAACAAAACCATCTTCGAGCATTGGTGGGAATCAGAAGGTTTCGGGAAGAAAGACAAGCACGCCTGCACCGAGGGAATCTACATCTATCCCTACACCAAAGGAGAGACTCAATATCGAAACGTCTACTATGAGTAAGTGCCTCCATTATTAAGAGTCAACAGCGTAGAAAGCTAACTCTATAGCGCCCCAACTGATCCCCCGATGGGCTTTACGGATGGTCGTATCTCCATCATGGCTAGGGTTCCTGACCTGGTGGTTCCCGTTGGAGAGATTCCTTACAACTCTACTGTCTCGCTCAAGACAGAGTATATGCCAGTGACTATGAGCTTTGTTGCAGCCAGGGAATGTGACTTGATGCTGGTGAGCTTGATAGAGGATTTGGAGAAGGCGGGTATTTTGAAGCCTGTCAGTACAGGTCCGATGATGTATCCCGCTTAGCTTTGAGCAGTTAAGAAGTCATTTGCATCGGTCATCAGAAATAAATATATATTTCCTGGGATTTATTATTATTATTATTATTATTATTATTCATACACGCATCTGTCAGCCCTATAGGCCGAGTGGCGGCAGGTCCTGCGGGGCAGCCGGGTAAGCCGCCGTAATGGTAGTCGCTATGTACATCGTCGCCTTTATACACATATCCTGATATCTCATTCCGCGTGTTGTATATCCCGTGCTGCTGGTTTTCGTGCCGCTGTTCCCATGGCCACAAGGATCCATGGGCTTGTTGGATACTATCTCGTTTCCTTCCCTACTTCTGCAAGCG